AGATATTCTTATATATATCTTCTTGGGGTATCACACTTTTTTCTTGCTTATTTTTGCTTGTAAATGGAAGAAAGGCCCCTGGCCTGCTTTGGTAGCTGAACCGAAGATATTAAAAATATTACTTGAATTTCGCTAAAAACACATTTTCTTTTTTAAAATATACTTGAAAAATGTCGCACAATGCGTTTACTTGGGGTATCACACTTTTTTCTTCCTTATTTATGCTTGTAAATGGAAGAAAAGCCCCCTGGCCTGTTTTGGTAGCTGAACTTGAGATATTTCTTAAATTTCACTTAATACACATTTTCTTGCTTGAAATATGTCAAACAATGGCTATACTTGGGGTATCACACATTTTTCTTGCTTATTTATACTTGTAAATAAAAGAAAAGCCCCCTGGGCTGCTTTGGTAGCTGAACCAAAGATATTAAAAATATTACTTACTTGAATTTCACTTAAAACACATTTTCTTTCTTAAAGTACATTTTTTAAGCATACCTACGTAGGTATGCTTAAAAAATGTCAAACAATGCATTTATTTGGGTTATCACACTTTTTTCTTCCTTATATAAATATTTTTGCTTGGAAATGGAAGAAAAGCTTGAAAATGAAAGAAAAGCCCCCTGGTAGCTGAACCAAAGATATTAAAAATATTACTTACTTGAATTTCACTTAAAACACATTTTCTTTCTTAAAGTACCTATGCTTAAAAAATGTCAAACAATGCATTTATTTGGGTTATCACACTTTTTTCTTCCTTATATAAATATTTTTGCTTGGAAATGGAAGAAAAGCTTGAAAATGAAAGAAAAGCCCCCTGGCCTCTTTTGGTAGCTGAACTGAAGATATTAAAAATATTACTTGAATTTTACTTAAAACACATTTTCTTTCTTAAAGTATGCTTAAAAAATGTCAAACAATGCATTTATTTGGGGTATCACACTTTTTTCTTGTATATTTATGCTTATAAATGAAAGAAAAGCCCCCTGGCCTGCTTTGGTAGCTGAACCAAAGATATTAAAAATATTACTTACTTGAATTTAACTTAAAACACATTTTCTTTCTTAAAGTACCTATGCTTAAAAAATGTCAAACAATGCATTTATTTGGGTTATCACACTTTTTTCTTCCTTATATAAATATTTTTGCTTGGAAATGGAAGAAAAGCTTGAAAATGAAAGAAAAGCCCCCTGGCCTCTTTTGGTAGCTGAACTGAAGATATTAAAAATATTACTTGAATTTTACTTAAAACACATTTTCTTTCTTAAAGTATGCTTAAAAAATGTCAAACAATGCATTTATTTGGGGTATCACACTTTTTTCTTCCTTATTTTTGCTTGTAAATGAAAGAAAAGCCCCCTGGCCTGCTTTGGTAGCTGAACCGAAGATATTAAAAATATTAATTGAATTTCACTTAAAACACATTTTCTTTCTTAAAGTATGCTTAAAAAATGTCAAACAATGCATTTATTTGGGGTATCACACTTTTTTCTTGCTTATTGCTTGGAAATGAAAGAAAAGCCCCCTGGCCTGTTTTGGTAGCTGAACTGAAGATATTAAAAATAGTACTTTAATTTCACTTAAAGTATGCCTAAAAAATGTCAAACAATGCATTTACTTGGGGTATCACACTTTTTTATTGCTTATTTTTGCTTGGAAATGGAAGAAAAGCCCCCTGGCCTGTTTTGGTAGATGAACATAACCTAAAATATTACTTGAATTTCACTTAAAACACATTTTATTTCTTAAAGTATGCTGAAAAATGTCAAACAATGCATTTACTTGGGGTTTCACACTTTTTTCTTGCTTATTTTTGCTTGTAAATGGAAGAAAAGCCCCCTGGCCTCTTTTGGTAGCTGAACTGAAGATATTAAAAATATTACTTGAATTTTACTTAAAACACATTTTCTTTCTTAAAGTATGCTTAAAAAATGTCAAACAATGCATTTATTTGGGGTATCACACTTTTTTCTTCCTTATTTTTGCTTGTAAATGAAAGAAAAGCCCCCTGGCCTGCTTTGGTAGCTGAACCGAAGATATTAAAAATATTAATTGAATTTCACTTAAAACACATTTTCTTTCTTAAAGTATGCTTAAAAAATGTCAAACAATGCATTTATTTGGGGTATCACACTTTTTTCTTGCTTATTGCTTGGAAATTAAAGAAAAGCCCCCTGGCCTGTTTTGGTAGCTGAACTGAAGATATTAAAAATAGTACTTTAATTTCACTTAAAGTATGCCTAAAAAATGTCAAACAATGCATTTACTTGGGGTATCACACTTTTTTATTGCTTATTTTTGCTTGGAAATGGAAGAAAAGCCCCCTGGCCTGTTTTGGTAGATGAACATAACCTAAAATATTACTTGAATTTCACTTAAAACACATTTTATTTCTTAAAGTATGCTGAAAAATGTCAAACAATGCATTTACTTGGGGTTTCACACTTTTTTCTTGCTTATTTTTGCTTGTAAATGGAAGAAAAGCCCCCTGGCCTCTTTTGGTAGCTGAACTGAAGATATTAAAAATATTACTTGAATTTTACTTAAAACACATTTTCTTTCTTAAAGTATGCTTAAAAAATGTCAAACAATGCATTTATTTGGGGTATCACACTTTTTTCTTCCTTATTTTTGCTTGTAAATGAAAGAAAAGCCCCCTGGCCTGCTTTGGTAGCTGAACCGAAGATATTAAAAATATTAATTGAATTTCACTTTAAACACATTTTCTTTCTTAAAGTATGCTTAAAAAATGTCAAACAATGCATTTATTTGGGGTATCACACTTTTTTCTTGCTTATTGCTTGGAAATTAAAGAAAAGCCCCCTGGCCTGTTTTGGTAGCTGAACTGAAGATATTAAAAATAGTACTTTAATTTCACTTAAAGTATGCCTAAAAAATGTCAAACAATGCATTTACTTGGGGTATCACACTTTTTTATTGCTTATTTTTGCTTGGAAATGGAAGAAAAGCCCCCTGGCCTGTTTTGGTAGATGAACATAACCTAAAATATTACTTGAATTTCACTTAAAACACATTTTATTTCTTAAAGTATGCTGAAAAATGTCAAACAATGCATTTACTTGGGGTTTCACACTTTTTTCTTGCTTATTTTTGCTTGTAAATGGAAGAAAAGCCCCCTGGCCTGTTTTGGTAGCTGAACCGAAGATATTAAAAGTATTACTTGAATTTCACTTAAAACACATTTTCTTTCATAAAATATACTTGAAAAATGTCAAACAATGCAGTTACTTGAGGTATCACACTTTTTTCTTGTATATTTATGCTTATAAATGAAAGAAAAGCCCCCTGGCCTGTTTTGGTAGCTGAACCGAAGATATTAAAAATATTACTTGAATTTTACTTTTTCTTTCTTAAAATATACTTGAAAAATGTCAAACAATGCATTTACTTGAGGTATCACACTTTTTTCTTGTTTATTTATGCTTGTAAATGGAAGAAAAGCCCCCTGGCCTGTTTTGGTAGCTGAACCGAAGATATTAAAAATATTACTTGATTTTTACTTTTTCTTTCTTAAAATATACTTGAAAAATGTCAAACAATGCGTTTACTTGGGGTATCACACTTTTTTCTTCCTTATTTAGGCTTGTAAATGGAAGAAAAGCCCCCTGGCCTGTTTTGGTAGCTGAACTAGAGATATTTCTTAAATTTCACTTTAAACACATTTTCTTGCTTGAAATATGTCAAACAATGCCTATACTTGGGGTATCACACTTTTTTCTTGCTTATTTATGCTTGTAAATGGAAGAAAAGCCCCCTGGCCTGTTTTGGTAGCTGAACCGAAGATATTAAAAATATGACTTGAATTTCTTTCTTAAAATTTGCTTGAAAAATGTCGCACAATGCGTTTACTTGGGGTATCACACTTTTTTCTTACTTATTTATGCTTGTAAAAGTAGAAAAATCCCTTGGCCTGTTTTGGAGGTTAAACATTTGTTGTTACTGTTTTTCAGGATTAGTTGTGGTTTATTACCAAATTATAACTATTAAAATTACACTTAGGACGCTTTTTCCTCTTTAAAATATGTAAAACAATGCTTAAACTTGCTTTATAACACATTTTAACCTATTAAATTTGAAATAAAATGACATTTCAAATGCGCATGCGTGGTCGGTTTTGGTAGCTGGCCTGCTTTGGTAGCTAACATTACGCCAATTAATTTGCCACACTTACCAGTCATACTAATATCTAAAAACTTCCTAAAATTATTCTCTTTCGGTAACTTGGCCAGGTAAGGCTTAGTCAGATCACAGTAGGTAACGCGCACTTGCCTCTTAAAATTCTTCCCCTTAAAAAACCTTCTTATTATTGTGTTTGCTTTTTTCTGGTAAAGAAACTCAGCCTCCACATTAACACTCTCGTCCGTCAAACTATTGCTATTAATATCGTCAAAATCTAATTGTCTTAAGTCAAAGAGATCTTCTTCGTTTTCTAACAGGTCGTATTCGCTCAAATATTCCAACTCGTCCAAACTCGGCGTCAAAGTTGAATCTGGCGGGTTAAAATACGGGTCTTCTATAAACTCCAAAGAGTTTGGTTCGTCCGTATTTGACATTTTAACATTTTTAAACGCGACAGTTCGGTTACATATTGCGCGAATTTTTCGTTAGCGTGGTTTCAACAGTTTGGCAAAATTCTAACTAAGTACCGTTTCTTGACTTTCACATAGCGCTCGCACAGGTACAAAAAATGCGTTAGGCAATCAACAATACACTAAACTTAATAGGATACCGTAAAAGTACCGTTAATTTTTTGACGTTTTAACCGGATAAGAATAAAATCCAATAAGAAATTACTTGTTGCAATAAAGTAACAATTACTTGACACGTCATACAAATTTGCATAGCAAAAAAAACCTTAATATGCCACAATATGGATAAGTTCCTTGATAAACAACCCTTTACATCCAATATCTTACCTAATCTTTTACCTTATATAGAAAAAACACGACAACAAAGGTAATAATTCTAGAAAAACCTACCTGTAGTAGGGCTAATGTTGTTCATTTTCACTGTTCGATAATAATAAACCCAGAAAAAACACTAAATATTACTGCGGGGCGTATAAACGAAAATAAATAACGATTAATTCAATAAAAACCGATGTTTCTGTTGACAGTAGCAAAAAAAATATCGATCATGCAAATTTATGACATGAAAGATGCTCAGCCGGTAATAAGTGTCTAAAATCACTACACATGAAGTACAATAAAAAAAGTAACTGTTCATCAAAAAGCAAGCTTAAAGTAACTAAAAAATATTATTGATAGTTTAAATTAAAGTAAAATATTATTGCCAACCTATTATTTAATGGATTTTATTACAAACTTTATAATTTTATGATGACAGTTGTGACAGGAACCACTTCCTTAACTTTTTGAGGTTATGTCACATTAAAAATATAAAAATGTTTCGCCTCACGAATAATTTGAAAAATCTTACACTATCCATAGAAGAATTAAGTGCAAACTATACGAATTTACAGACTGTGAGATGGCAACGCAAGCCCAGATGGTTACCGGTGGCGAAAAGTAAAGTTTTTAGGATTCCAAAAAAGCCAGAAACTCCCCAAGAAGATAACTTGGAGTTACAAAGATTGTTTAATAATTACAGAACGCAGATTAAATCGTTGAGGAGACATTTTTTTTACAAACACCACATACAATTTTTAGCCAGCGAGGATCCTGAGCAACAAAGGATCATTTTTGAGAAGGATCTTGACAGGTAAATTATAATAATTATTATTTTTATTATAACAATTATTGTGTAAAAACTTATCTATTTGTAAATTATTGTAGGTGTAATAAAATTAATGATAAATGGAATGCAGAGCAAAAAGTTTTGCGTGAAAAACGTGCCCAAGAAAACTTGGAAGTTGAATTAGAGTTTGCCAGAAAGAGAATAGAAGTTGAAAATATAAAACGAGAAGAACACAAACAAAAAACTGAGGAGTATGTTAAAAAGGTTAAAGAAGAATCCAAGGAATTTATTACAGCTGAAAATATCGATAAGGCCATTGAAATAGCATTAAACAATCCTGTGGATTATAATTATGCCTTAACACCAAGTGGGGAGAAAATATTTGGCAGGGAAAATAATGAATTTGAAGTTAAAGAGAAAATAAGTGTTAAACAGTAGTTGTTTTTGTAAATAAATAAATTAATAATGTGGTTTTCTTTTTTTATTTTATAAAAAAATATTTACAAATTGTCCTTAAAAAATTAATGTTATGTAAACAATGATTGTAGAAATTCTTCCCTATCTTCTTCAGGTGCTTCTTCAGTATCCATTTTTTCAGTTTTCTTCACCCCTTCTGTCTCCTTGTTAACCAACTGTTTAGCTTTTTTCTTTTTATCCAAATTTGAGGTAAAGAAGTTAGTTTTCTTCTTTGCCAACGTAATTTCAGCCCTCAATTTCTGTCTTCTTGCCGCTTTTTCATACGCCAATCTTTCGTGTAGATGGGGCCATTTGAAGTTGCTCAAATACTTAATATTCCATATACTGTCAAATTGTTTCGATCTTTTTCTTGAGTCCACTTGTTGATTGTTTAAATGTGCAGCCACTTTTTTGGCTACGGATTTTTTCTCGAATTCTACCCATCCTTCCGTGAATTTACGTGCTACTTTCTTTCTTTTCTTCTTTTCCCCTGGTTTTGGATCTATTAAGCAATTCATTAAATATTTTACTAAAGAATTAAAAAAAAAACATACCTGGTTCTGCTAATTGTAAATATACCCGCCCTACAGTACCAAATTCGCTGAAGACTTCCCTTATTTTTGAAACGTTCATATAAGGTGGAATGGTGGATAAATAAATTATTCCTCTTTTTGGGGATTTTTTAGATTTTACCGTTGAACCACTTGGTTCTGGTTCCACGTTATCTTCTACTTCCGATTCCACAATATCCTCTGCTGCAGTCATTTCAAAATTTTATTTTAAAGAGAACGTGAAAAGTAGAGGTTATGTTTATGATTTTTAGTGTTTGACGTTTTGTTAAGATGGCGCAAATTCAAGCGCTAAATTCAAATAGGCTCGTTTCAAATGGTCCTTCGTACCGGATACATATTTTCTTTGTTAATTATAAACTTTATTGAAAAAAAATTAAAAAACAGCTTTACAATTTGCGCAATTCGCTTAGAAAAACAAAAATATTGTATTTTATTACTTTTAAAAAACAAAAAAAGTAATTTCCCCAAGCGGGATTGAACCAAAGACTTTAATGAATTAAATTCTTTTTAGCCTCCATCCGGAAAAATCCGAAAATGACATTTACGACAACCAAGGCTGTAGAACGAAAAATTTTCATTTATTTCTGTGATTTTTTCCAAAGAATTTTTGTTTTACAAATTTTACTTTTATCAGGGCTCCCACGGCTAAATTATAAATTTTATTTAGGAATTTAGGAGCTTTTTTGTAAAATTTTAGGAGAAATAAAGTGTGGAAATGAATTTCTTTAATTAAATAAAAACAACTCTTTACTACTTAAAAAATAAGATAAAAGTTATATTGACTAGTTTTTTAGCCAAATCGCTCGACGAGTTTTTTTTTTAATAAAATTAAAAGTGAGGTAAAATTACTACTTTTGTATATATCTGAGGTACATATACAGGGTGTTTCATAATATATGCGCAGGACTTCAGGATGTGATAGCTCATCCAAAAAGATGAAAAAAGTCGCTATTAACTTACCCTCTAAAATGCACAATTTTCGAGATACAGGGTGTTGAAATTTTAGAAAAAAAATCGTTTTTTTCTAATATCTCTGGAACCGTTTATCGTACAAAAAACAGCTTTTGTAAGCATTTTCTACTCAAAATAAGCTATGTTTTGTGCCAGAAAAAAATTTTTTTTTACTCATAATTGGTGGAGATTTTGAAGGGGTAGCGGGTGTTTTTCTCCTCAACTTCTACGCCCCTGAAAAATGTACGGTTTTGAGAGGCCTATTCGAACCGCCAATGTTTTCTACACAAAAAAGGTACTCTTGGTCATAAGCTCTAAAGTTGACCGTTTTCGAGAAAAATCAACTTTTATGTTTAAAAACATGGTCAATTTAAAAAAAAATAATTTTTTTTTACTAATTAAACAAAATTTTTTTTAACGTTAGAACAAGTAACAAAACCAAACCATAATTGCAAAATAAAAAATGATTCAAAAGTTGTCTTTGCTAAATTCTCCAAACCGTAAAGGTAACGCATTTCGAACATTTCAGCATTTGTGTAAAAAATCATTTTTTATTTTTTTTTTAATTTTGCAATTATCGTTTGGTTTTGTTACTTTTTCTAATGTTAAAATAAAATTTGTTTAATTAGTAATAAAATTTTTTTTTTTTTAAATTGAACATGTTTTTAAATATAAAAGTTGATTTTTCTCGAAAAAGGTCAACTTTAGAGCTTATGACCAAGAGTACCTTTTTTGTGTAGAAAACATTGGCGGTTCGAATAGGCCTCTCAAAACCGTACATTTTTTAGAGGCGTAGAAGTTGAGGAGAAAAACACCCGCTACCCCTTCAAAATCTCCACCAATTATGAGTAAAAAAAATTTTTTTTCTGGCACAAAACTTAGCTTATTTTGAGTAGAAAATGCTTACAAAAGCTGTTATTTGTACGATGAACGGTTCCGGAGATAATCGAAAAAAACGATTTTTTTTCTAAAATTTCAACACCCTGTATCTCGAAAGTTGTGCATTTTAGAGGGTAAGTTAATAGCGACTTTTTTCATCTTTTTGGATGAGCTATCACATCCTGAAGTCCTGCGCATATATTATGAAACACCCTGTATATACAAGTATAAATTTCAGCACACTTTTAATTTTATTTAAAAAAATGCGTCGATAGATTTGGCTAAAAAACTAGGCCAAAATCAAATGATGTTATATTTATATTTTAAGAAAAAATATGTTAACCGTTTAGTTAATAAGTTACAGTAATTGAATCGGTAAGATTAAGAATAGTACAAGTCCAAAAGTAAAATGCACTTTTGTTAAAATATTTTAACTATATTATGAAATATAATATTCATACTCTGTAAAATAATTTATATCTTCTCACAAAAATGTATTTTAAAATTAAAAATTAATTTTTGAATATAAATTGTCAAAATTAAATTTGTGTTATTATTCTCGCCGATTCAATTGTAATGTGGATCTTAATACTTAAAAATCTCATAACAAAATATGAAGTTTGCAAAATACAAATACAAAATATCATTTTAAAAAGAATTTAATAAAATAGAACCTGAAAATATATATTTTTAAATTACTTTTTAAAAAAGAATTTTTTAGCGTGACAACTAGGTACCTTAATTAAACGCAGTCAGGTTGGCCTATTTAAATTTAATTTTTAGGATTTTAGGAGTTTTAGAACATTGAATGCAATTTTAGGAGAATTTTAGGAGTTTTCAAGATTTAAGCCAAATTTTAGGAATGTTATGAGTTTTAGGAGGTGTGGGAGCCCTGTTTTATTAGGTACCTATTATTATTTTTAAAATATACTTTTTTTTTTAATATTTTTTATTACGTGTACTAAATTTTCTTGTATTTTTAGCGTGCAAAACATAGATCTCTAGATCATCATTTACAAAAATGTTTTAAAATGTTGTGAAAAAATATTGTATAAATATAAAAAGTGGGACATCGAAGGGTTTAATGTTGTAAAAACATTTTAGAGGCATTTAAATCATGATGAATAATATTTCCAAAATATTTAGTTCATTTAGCAAAAATATTTATTCAATATTTTAAATATATTTTTGTGTTAATTTAGGTTTAATGTTTAAGGGCTGCCAATAAAAAACAATTTATATAAAAATATATGAATTAATTTATCTATAAAAATTTAATACCACAATTTAAATAATCTATACATTAAATGTTAATTACTTGGACCGCGTGGAATGAAATGAAGTCTGTGAAGAATGCCTCACAGTGGACAGATCTGATTCTCCGTAGAAAGCCTCTTTCAGGGACTCCCTGGACTTACTGGCGCTCTGCACCGGCGTCGAAGTCCTGTGAGTATTTTTATCTTTCACCAAGGAAACGCTCTGTATGACGGAAACATCTGAAAAATCCCCCAATAAGCTGTGTGGAGTGGAGTTGCCCAATAAAGTGCTGGACGAGATTTTACTCATCAGTTGTTGTTTGAGGTATTTGAGTAGCGTGGTGTCGTTGGTTGAGTGAAGTTTACCTGAGTCCTCGGTGCTGCTCGAAGTCAGTTCCAAAGCCTTCTTGGTCTTCTGCAGGGTCGGAATGGCCCACTCCATGCCTATGCTTTTGAGCATTTGCTCCAAAGTCTCCACGTCCTCGCTGGAATCCGATGTCAGCAGGGTTTTGCACTTTTTGAATTCGTCCTGGACGACTATTTCCTCCGCAGAAGTGTTCCTACTTTTTACGGAATGTCTGGAGATGTCCGCTTTCGAGGAAACATGGCTTTCCCGTTCGGCTTCCGGTATGGCCGACAACTCGTGGGGTATCGTGGATATTTCCTCGTTAAATCTCCTTGCTACGCTCAGACCTTTTGACGGGGGCGGTTTTCTTCGGCCATTTTCAACGGGCGCTTCCTCAGTGGACCCGAATTTCGGCAATTTCGGTATATCGGCGAGCAGCGGGACGAAATTAACCGCCTTATCTTCCGGGGGCGCCGCAGGCTCTTTAATTAACTTCTGCAGCCTGTTCATTAAGGCGTCATCTTCATTGTCCGCGATTTTTTCCGCGGACGGATGTTTTCTTAATCTGTTTGCTAGGTCGACGTCGACCCCCAGGAAGCGTTTGTACAGTTCTTCATCGCTCACACTTAAAGATGAATCCGTGCCGTTCGACGATTGAAGTTTGTAATCCAGGTATGCGGTGGAGTTATCTTTGCCATCCACTTCGACGGATTTCTCTATGATCTTGCTCTTTTCTTCGCGCAGTTGTTGTATTTTGGCCGCCAGATGTTCGATTTTTTTGCTGGCGTTGTCCGTTATGAGGGCGTATTGCTTCGCGTAATCTTCCTTCTTGCCCACATCCTGCGGGACCCTGCTGCCGGGGCATATGGCAACATCGCAGCTCATGTTCAAGGTGGTCTCATCTTGCGATTGCTGTTGTTGCTTCTGGTCGTTTAAATGTTCGGCGATAAACTTCAGGACGTCGTGGAGCGGGTTGTGCGGTATGTTGCTCTCGATTTCCACCACGCTTTGGTTCGGCGTCGTTATGGTGCTCGACGTGGCCGGCAGATTGTCTATGCTCGACTTGGACATGTCCAAGAGCTTCGCCACGAGATTGAACAGCTGCGGATTTTGCGGTCGCAATTCTTCCGTTGTTTCGTTGCTGGTGTTCTTGGCTGCGCATCTTTTGTAGGGGTTGTAGAAAGACGCCGTCGTGCCGGGGGAGAAATCCGGCGGGCTGAAGTATGACGTGGACGTGGTGGAATTTCTGCTGAACTGTTCCTTCCACGATCTAGATTTGTTGCTGGAAATTTTGCTTCTGTCTTTGGACTTTGGTACTTCGGATGATTTATCAGTCTTAAGGGATGTTTTTTCAGTCTTATCGTCTGTTTTCGATGGTGGTTTACTTATGGTGGCTTCGGTGAATTTTCCACGTTCTTTTACGGTCACGACGGGTTTTTCGTCGTTTATTTGTATCACTATTTCGAACTTGCCGTCGTCGTTTTCAAGGCAGTCGCATTCGGTGTGTTTCTTTTCGCACAACGTGGTTTTAACCTTCTTCGTTCTGGGCTCATCACCGGAGCTCTTGGTGTCCGTTTTGATCGAGCTCTTTTGAACGGAAGTGTCTTGCACCAACACTTCTTGTTCTTTGGTCGATTTGGGGGTGGTTTGCGTGCTCATGTTCTGCTTTATCAGAACCGTCGGTCTCGATTTGACGCGTTTCTTCGTCGGAGTTCTTCTGCGCTCCAGATCCGCCGATTTCGGTCTGTCGTACTCGCTTCCTTCCGATACGGTGGACAGCTCGTCGCGTTGGCTCTTTTTGTCGCCCCTGCTTTTCGTGCGCCTCCGGGGTTTCCCCGGCCTCTCGTCCGACGTGGACTCGTCGAACTCGTTCAACTCCCTCAGCATTTTCACGACGCTGTCGTCTTTGGGCATCTTTTTCACCTCGGCCAGGAGCTGCTTTTTCTGCGTTTTAAGATTCTTGAGCAGCTCTTTGAACTTGCTTTTTCGGTCTTGGTGCGTGGGTTCGGAAAAAGCGGAAACTATGTCTTGCACTTCGTTGGCCGTGAACAGTTTCGGTTGTTTGTAGTCCACGTCCCAGGTGGCGATGTTTTTCGCGTCCGGGGAATCCCGGCCCGACCTTTGAGTCTCGGGATCGCTTCTCGACGGTAAGGTCACGATTTTGGGCTGCAAGTTCGGGAATAAATTGGTGTAAGCGTTGTCCAGTTGGTTCTGCTTTTTTCGCTCCAATTCTTGACGCCTTTCTTCGTTCATGTGGTACTCCGGCCTGTCGGTGTTCAACTTTGCCAGTTTCTCTTGCTTCTGCAGCAACGGCAACTTCTGCATTATCTCTTTATAATCGCGCTGTATTTTCTTCTTTTCCAGCGCCTTTTTGGCTCTCGATATCGCCTCTTGATCCCGCTGCTTCATTTTATCGTAGTATTCTTTGTCGCTGGGTAAATTCTCCACTTCCAAATCGCTGCAGGATATTTTTTCGACGACACTCCCCGACTGAGTTTTGCCGTCGAATTTGTTCTTGTGCTCGTAGTAACTCACTTTGTTTGAATCCAACGAAGTGGCGGTTTGCGAGCCGAACTTTTCTTTCAGTCTTATGGTGGGTTTCTCCGGGATTATCCCTGCGCTTCTCTTTTTCGGACTTTCTGCGGCATCTTTCGATTTGCATTTGCAGGAACACTTTTCAATCACTATCGGTCTGCTGCAGCAACAATTGCAATGCGTGTAGAGCGTGGCATCACCGCAATCGCAAACCTTGTTTGTATGCGGTCGCGAGTATATTGCATCTCTTAGTTTGGTGTTGCTTTTCAGCACAGTGTTGGGATTGATTTCTGCTGCTTCTTCGCAGTAATCGGGCTCTGTTACCAACACTTCCCTGCGTTTTATCCTATCGGAAATTCTTGTATCTTTCCTTAATGAATCCAACTTCTGCTTTGACGTTTGAACGGCTTTTTCTCGAATTTCCAATGCTTTACTTGATCCGGTTGCAACTTCAGAAGATCCTGCTTCCCTTATAGAGTCCAGTGGTCTTTTAGGCGCTAAAACAATTTTTGTGATAGAAAAAACAATATTATATATATCCACTAAATTTACCTGTACAGTTTTCTTGATTGTTTGCGAAGTCAGTGGGTGAATCAGCACAACTACAAGAACTTTCAATTTCTATCTCGGATGGTTCTTCAGAAATCAAACTAAGGCGGTCGAAATTTTCCTCGTTTTCTGAATTGCTACACTGGGAATTGTCAGGCACAGAAATATTGATGTTGGCCAAAGGTTTTGATTTTTTTGGTGATATTGTTTTATGTGGCGTTCTTTTGGTTTTTGTTATAACTTCTTGTGACCTAAAAAATATAAATCAACGAATTCTGCATATTTTTTGTTTATGCCTCAAATAATACATTCTGTTATTGCAGGTAACAGATATTTAAAAATAAATAATCGTTTTGCCCGGAAAGTATATTTTTGGTTAAAAATTTAAAAAAAAACATTTAGAATATTAAAAATTAAATTATCACAATTAATTTAGAAAGAAGTAACAAACTTAACAATTAAAATTGTGATTTGCTTGAAGAAAGTTAATAAAAAAATATAACTTAAAGAGGATGAAATTTTAAATTTGTGGGTCATTTTATAAAAATTTTTGGTCGAAATTAATTTTTTTTTTTCGTTTACAACGGTTTTTATTGTAACCAAAAACTTAAAACCAGTTTTTGTTTCAATAAATTTACCATTTTAAGTAGGTATTTTCACTTGAGTAATATTCTTCCTAAACACCTCTTGTATTTAAAAATGAACCAGATTCAAGCTTGTTGAACAAATTATAAACAACTGTGCTTTCATGAAAATTGTAATTTTTAGGGACCTATATTAAAAAAAAATGACATATTTTTTTTATTTCAAATTATATGGAAAATTATAATTTTTGAAATTTAAGAACTAGAAAAGTTTTTCTTTATAAAAGTTTGTAAATGGAATAAGATTTAACAAACAACTCAGTTTGAGATTAGATCTTGTTTTAAATATTTTTATAAACAGAATTTTTTATTTGTGGAATTTTAATTTTTTTTATGCAAATTTTATAAACAAATGCATTTTTCTCCAATTTGGGACTTTTTTGTTTTTTTTTCTTTCTTAATCCCAATATGTATGTGAATATGTTTGGTTGAAAATTGAAAAAAAAAAGATTTAGAATATTTAAAAAAATGTATAGCAAAATTTTAGTAACAAATAGCTTGAAAAAAGTTAATAAAAAGGATGAAATGACAACAGTTTGTATTGCAAACCGAAAACTTAAAAGCAGTTTTTTTACGTTTTTGCACATTAAATTAAAATGAATTGTTTTGGTAATATTTAAGAAACACAGTGAAAGTAAAAATATTTATTACTATTGCAATATAGTTGGTTTTTTAAATTTTTGTTAATTTTGTTTCAATAAATTTACCATTTTTAGTGGGTATTTTCACTAATATTAATTAATAATATTCTCCCTAAATACTACTTGAAGGTACTTAAAAATGAACCAGATTCCAGCTTGTTGAACAAATTATAAAAAACTGTGCTTTCATGAAAATTTTTATGCCCCTATATTAAAAAAAATGACATGTATTTCTTTATTTCAAAATTATATGGAAAATTATAATTTTTGAAATTTTAGAATTAGAAAAGTTGATCATTATAAAACTGTTTGTAAATGGAATAAGAGTTAACAAACACCTAATTATTGATGGCAAAACTTGATCTTGTTTTAAATATTTTTTAAACAAAATTTTTTATTTGTGGAATTTTAATTTTTGCATGCAAATTTTATAAATAAATGTTTTTTTCTAGAATTTGGGACGCTTTTTTTTGTTTTTTTTCTAAATCCCAAAATGCTTGTAAGAGGCTCTTGATTATAGCCATTACTGTCAAAATCTTAGGATGGACAAATAAAAACAAATAAGAACATTTTAGAACTAAAAAAAAAATTAAAAGTTCAAAATAAAAAAAAAATTGTTTGTAGGTGTAAAAAAAGTTAAAATTTTGAAAATTGATTTTTTTTTATTTAGAACAAATTCTAATTTCAAGCTTTTGCCAATAAACAACAGAAGTTTGTTGAATCTTATTTTATTTACAAATGTTTGTATAAAGATAGATTTTTTTAGTTCCAAAATTCGCAAAAATGATAACTTTTTATAATAATTTTATATATAATTTTGAACTTTTTTTAGACAAAATTAGTCAACACACCTTAGATTTTCTTTTTCCCTAACTGCCTTTTTAATTTCTTTAACTTTATTTTTCTGTACTTCTGTCTCCACTTTCTCATCTAGACATTCCAACATTGCATATTGCTCTCTTTCCTTTGCTTTAACATCATTCTTCATTTTCTCAATTCTATAATTTTCCTCGTCAATTTTAACCTTTTCTGCTTCCTCATGCCCCATGCCAATTTCGTCCAACGCCTCTTTATACTGACTCTGCAGTTCCATCAACTTCTTATTCTTCCAATTCTTCAACTTCTCCTTGCCCTCCTTCTCGATTTCCCCTATTTGCTTCTGTTTCTCCTTCTTAACTTTGTTCCTAACATCCTGTGCAATGTCTTTCGATTGCTGCCTGACCTGCTGCAGCCTCAATAGTCGCCTCTTCTCGAAATCCTTTTTGCATTGGTAGGAATCCTGCGACGTCACCATTTTTCCTTTGTGTATTTTCACTGGATTTCCGCTCACGTGCACGTTAATTGACATCTTTGGCCGTTAAATAACAAACCTAACCCTAACACTATAAAGTGAAAAAAAGTCTGTAGGGATAGTGCGGCTTCATTTTTCGAAAGACTCAACAAGCGCTTTGATAACTTTAACTAAAACAAGTCGTAAAAACAATTAAACAAGTATAACTTTAAGTAGAATTAATAAAACAACAATTACAACGCAACAAATGACAGTTAAGTTTTTAAATGGCGCCACCTAGGTGTAGATCGACGGAGTATGTGGTTTAAGTGGTAGATTCCTGTAATTTATGTTTTGGGCGGTGTTGCCAAATCCATATTGCTGTTTATGTTTAGCATTGATTATAGCCTGATTTATAGATGCCTTCTTTCCTTCCTCCCGTAAAAAATGAACAATACGAAAACCGTAGGGCTGTACGGTAATCTATAAACAGCACTACGGTTTTCGTATTGTTCATCATTTACGGGAGGAAGGAAGGCAATCTTTAAATCAGGATTTTTAGTCTTATCATACAGCAGACAATAAAAATCTTTTTTTTATATTTATTTATTGATGCAGTTTCATATGCCTTTGAAGATGTCCATTTCTCCTGAAACTTTTACCGCAATTTATACACAAATACGCTTTTTCATCGCTATGAACTTTGTTGTGTTGATTTAAATTATTTGGGTCCGAAAATGATTTATGACAGTGGTTGCACTTGAATGGTTTCTCCCCAGTGTGTTGTCGTTTATGAATATTTAGGTAATACATGGAGCCAAATGTTTTTTTGCATAATTCACATTGAAATGGTCGCTCTCCTGTGTGAGACTTTATGTGCTTTGCTACCACTGAGGATTGAGCAAATTTTTTGCCACAAATTGTACACGGGAATGGTCGTTCGCCTGTGTGAACTCTCACATGAGCTGTAAGCCGGCCACTTGAGACAAAACTAGAAAGAAACAATTGTTCATTGTTTTCAAAAAACAAAAATAAATATTGTAAAATCATTTCCTATACTGGGTAGTTAATTTTTAGGAAAAAAAATATAAAAATATTTTTGATTTTAATTTTTACCTCATGCAACAAGTTTTACATCTATATGGTTTATCATTCAAATGTCTTCTCAAATGTATTGTGAGACTGGAAGACTGTTTAAATGATTTTCCACATATTGAGCAAAGATGTGTTTTTCCATCCACTTTTTCCTTAACTACAATTTTTCTTTTAATATTATCATGTTTTCTCATATGTACAGCCAAGCTTCCAGACTGAGTGAATGATAAATTGCATAAAACACAATGGTAGGCTTTTATTTTTGTATGTAAAGACATGTGCCGTTTAACATCTGCAGCTCTAAAAACATTTGTTTTTCATCAATTCCATCACTTAACATACCAGTCCTCTAGAAAATCAATAATTACCTGGTAAATCGTTTTGAGCATATGGTGCATTTTAAAGTGGGATCATCAACATGTGTTTTAAGATGCCGTTGCAAAGAATATTTATTTGTCAATACTTTGTTGCAGAAATTACAAGTAGGTTTTTCTTCAGCCACATCTTCCTCAAAATTATCCTCAAATGTATCCTCCACATTGGAATCTAATATTTCCTCCACCTCATCAACATTATTTATTTCCTCCTCCTGTACACTATTATTTAAGGAATATTCACATGCAGTTGTATAGAGTTTTTGAAGCTTATCATGAACCCCATGACAGTGTTCTCTAAATAAATATGCTTGTGTTAATTTATCCAAACAAATAATACATATGCTTTTGGGAAACACATCCTCATCTGTAACCTACTAAGAATTAATTAATATTTAACATTCAAAAAGAAAAGAACTACCTGAATTTCAGTACATTTAAAAAGTAAAAAGTTTAACGTTTCTTCTTTGTTATCAATGAAGATTTTGTCGAATAAAGACGTTAAACTTGGCCCATTTTCCATACAAGTACGACATACATTGTTTTCATTTCGAACAGGCGGATTGATTTCCATAATTTATAACAACAAAAATAGACAAAGCCCCAAAACAAAAATTCAAATAATTCTAGGTTAGTAGTTCTAACGTACCCTACATGTCAAATAAAAATGGAAGTGTCTACGTGGACGTCTGATGTGACAGCACATCGGACGTGGCCGTGGCTGTAACTTATACACTTCCAATAAAAATAATTACAGTAGTTCAGTTGACCCAAGGAGCGTCAGTTTTTTTATGACAGTTCGCGAAGCTTTTGTCAAACATTTTGTAATATTTGTTATATGCACTTTGATAAATAAAAATTGTATCGGTTTTTTTCTGACGAAAACAAGGTAATTTGGGCTTACTGTGGTCGGCAATATAATACAAAGGTTAAGGCTTATAATTTTTTCTTTTAAAGCTTTTTGGCTTTTCTCAGGTGATAGAAAATAATTTTATTTGCAACTATTAACACTTATTTCTCCCCAAGATGCAGTCACAGCTAGAAGCAGCCTTATTAGGCCATTCTTCTAGCGTTACAAACCCTAATGCCGAAGAAGACGAAATTAATTCGGTTGCGCACGAAGAAGAAACTGAAGTCGAAGATTTTATTGATGAGGTCTTTGCGTTTTGTATTTGTAGCTTTTATTTTGTAGCTGCACGTTGCATGAAACTTTAACTTTGTTTTAATTTGTAAGTTGGACAACAATATTTTATTTGATTTATGTTTTTCTTGAGTAGCTTTTTGCTTTGTTTTTATTTACCACTGTGTATTAACCCGCTGGTTATTTTAAAGGAGGTTGAGGGTGAAGTGCCTAGCAAACAGGTGAAACAAAATGCTACCACAAATAACCGAACAGTTACCCTGCAGATGCTTTTATCGGCTGGGATTCTAGATCCAGGGCCTGGTTATATGACCATTGAATATTTAGTGAGAATGGACTGTATGATAATTGATGAATTCTATATGAACATTGTTTTAGGGTCAAAGATTTGCAGGTGATCTGCTGGAAGATGGAAAAATAAGAAGCCAAGAAACTGATATAGTATTTGCTTCTCCCAGTGCTTGGGCCATAGCTTGTAAACGGTTTATAAACCCAGATAAAAAATCTGGGTGTGGTTGGGCTTCAGTGAAATACAGGGGAAGAAAATTGGATGCCTACAAAAACGTTTGGTACAAAAAGAAGAAGGAAGACGAAAAACTTGAAAAAGAAGGGTTGAATTTAGAACAGCTGCTGCAGAAAAATATGGCGAATACAATGATGTATCAAAGAATTGTAGTTAAACATAACACAATTGCTAATAGAACTTTAACACAGTATGTTTTTTAGTTTCAGTTTTATTTACTATTTATTTTTGTATTTTTTTCTTTGTAGTGACGCCAACACTATGGTAGAATGTGTGCCTTTTTCTAATTTGGGCAAAATACAACCATTTTTGGTTTCTCTAAACACTAATGCTGCTTTATTGATGGATTTTCATTGCCATTTAATGAAATCTGAAGTTTCTGGTTACTTGGCAGGTCATTGGGACGTTAATGCACACAGTAAGCGACATAAAAAGTTTTTGTTTTCTCAGTACCTAATTGGTTTTGTTTTAGATTTGCAAATAACCCATGCCTTCCCATGCAGAAACGGAAAATCAGACAGGGAAAACGCCGCGAACGTGGAGGCAGAAATAGCTAAAGAAATCGAAAAGGAAAAATTAACTTTGGTGGGTTGGTACCACTCGCACCCGTTCGCTGCCGCAGCACCCACCCTGCGCGACGTCGATGCGCAGTTGGACTACCAAATCAGGATGAAAGGCACATCTGATAATAGCTATACACCGTGTATAGGGATTATACTTTGTAAGTAAATAAATTGCTTGGGGGTGTACAAAAAGTGTACAGCTTATTGTTTTTATTCGGAATTTGACAATGTTAAAAGTTTAGGGGTTTATTTGGCAAATTCTAGGAATTAATTGTGGTTATTAGGGTGATTTAAACAAATTGGTTCTCAGGCACCTCTAGAAAGTGCTCACCAAATTTGAGCTCTTAATATTAATAGGAAGATCCTCATCACAGTTTTCCATTTTTTTTAGTCCCTTATAAAAAGACCATATTTCATTATTAATAAAATCTTTAAACATATTTTTGTAGGTAATTAAATGTTCTACAAAAAAGGACTGATGTGTTTAATAATAATAATAATAATAAAAGGTATTTATTGCCCAACAGTACATACCATAAATGGACATTCATATAATAGTGTTTACTTACAAATACTAGCTTATAAATAAATAATACAAATAAGTTAAAAACAATATATAAATAATTAAAAATATAAATAGTTAACAATTTTTACAATTAACAATATAAAACACTAGGATAAACAATTTTTTATAAAGCTTAAGGAAGAAAAATTTATATCACAGGAAGTAGAAATAAAATTGAATATATTGCACATAACATATAAAGGAGATTTTTTAAGTGTGTTTGTATGAGCAAAGGGACATCTAAACGCTATACATTGTCGGCTATTAACCAAAGCAATTACTTTAACCATTTAAAAGATATTCAAGATCAAAGTTTTAAGAATTTATAAAAAAAATTGTTTATATTTTTGTAACTCATTAAAAAATAATTATTGTCAAAAGACATATTTTAGTAGGAAATTTAACTCTCTACAAGAAAGGTCTGATGTGTTTAATTGATTACTTTAACCATTGAGAAGGTATTGGTATCAGTACGCTAGGAATTCGGATACAAATATCTTCTCAACGTTTAAAGTAATTAATTAAATACATGAGACTTTTTTGTAGGGCGTTAAATTTCTTACAAAAATATGTCACCCGGGAGAAGATTCTTACTGAATTATAATAATAGGAAATATAATTTTTTTTTCTTGATATCAGTGATATTTGAAAATTTTTAGAAAAATTGACCTTTTATTTTTTTTCGTATTACCCATATAAAATGAAAAAAGTCAATTTTTCTGAAAATTTTCCAATTTTTCCGTTTTTTCCGGAAATTTTTAAACCATAAAACATATCATTCCTTTTTTGTAGAGCATTCAATTTCCTACAAAAATATGTACAATTGTTTAATAATGAAATATGGTCTTTTTTATAAGGGACTAAAGAAAAAATGAAAAACTGTGATGAGAAGGATCTTCCTATTAATATTAAGAGCTAAAATTTGGTGAGCACTTTCTAGAGGTGCTTAAGAAACAATTTTTCAGTGTCGGAAGTAAAAAAAATATTCTATTTTTTTTTAATCACCCTAGTTGTTATGTTATATGTTTATAAATTTTGAAATGTCAAATAAGTTGTTGAAATGATGAAATATAGGTGACTTGCGGCATTTTCGTAGAAATACACATGTATTTTTGGACAACAATATTATTTGGTTTGTCCTCTCAAAGAAATTTAGGAATTTTTATGAAATAACCAAAATTATTTGAAGGTTAGAGAGCTCTCTAGGATACTTAAATTTTGTCCAATGGTGAATGGGTTTTTTACTAAAGTCACTAAGGGTTAATACTAGTAGCTTTTTAATAAGGATTATACTACTCCAAAAACATATTTTAGCTGGTCAATCTTTTTGTTTAGAAGTTTTTCTAAAATTGTTTATTAGTCTGACAATTAAATGTCAAAATATTTAAAATTAAACCCTTGGACAGGAGTACCAATTTTAAATATTAAAAATATCAAAGTATTGACATATGGTACCAACATAATCAAATGTGTCAAATTCCGAATAAAAAAACAAACTATAAGTTTTGGTAATTTTTATGTTTTTAGCGCCCTATAACTATGAAAACACCTCTTTGGAATCGAGTATCATAGCTTATTGGGTGATTCCGCCGCCGGAGGCAAAGCCAAATGAATACGGCCGCCCAATGCTCATGTCGTACAGCGTCTTACAAGACTCTCTACTCAACAACCACATTAAAGAGGAGATGAAAAAATGCGTGGAATATCATCGAAAAGACCCGGAATGCATAAACTTCTCCGAGCGTTTTGTTAGCACGACCCTTTACATCGACAAGCTAAAAAGCACGTTGATCTCGAAATTCCCGCGGGACGAGAGCGAGACCGTCTTCTGGAGGTTTATAAGGGAAATTTTAAATTGCAACATAGAAGAGAAGGAATCCCTGTTGTCCATACCGAGCGTGAGCAAGTCCAGTTTGCTCCCAACACTAACGCCGCCTGTTAGTTTGAGCTCCAACTTCAGTTCGATGCTACCTTCGGACATATCCACTCTCCTATTCAACTCCGGCAAGTTTCCCAGTGCCAGCAGCATGTTGGGTCTGCCGGACCCAATGGCGCACAGCACTCTAGCCGCCAATAACATGTTCTTGTCGACGAATTTGTTCAAAATGCAGGAACTGCTTAAACCTCTGTCTGCCAGTAGTCCTTTACCCAAATCTAAAGAGCACAAACAATCTTCTCCTCTCAAGATTCCCACCGACCTGAAAAGCATTAAGAACGATTTTTCCATGGACTTGATGAATTTGAAGAACAAAATGGAGATATCCGTTTCGGAGTTAAACCTATCCAAGATCCAAAGCAAAAGTTTTGACTACAGTTTATCCAGCACCAAGACCAGCAAGGACTCAAGCAAAGACTACATCGACTACAGCATGCCAAGCACTAAAACCAAGGAGTCACAGAAAGATGTTTCTGACTACAGCGCTTCTAGTCTCGATTCATCAAAGCAAGAATTCTCACTACCGGATTATAGCGCCTCAAAAACACCCACAGATTTTTCTCTAAATCTGAGCAGCAAACCGACAGATTTCAGCGAAAAACCCGCCAAAATACCAAAAATGGATTACTCCACTTTGGATCTAAGTCTCAGTAAAGACCTGACCACCTTAAGGGATCTTTCCTCTTCTGCAGATTTATCTGCCAAAGATTTTAGCATGCCCAAAGATGTCAATGTCAGTAAAATTGAAGCCACTGATTTGTCAAATGCTCTTTCCGTAGCTTCGGATTTAAGTTTGGCCAATTCCGAGGATGCTCCCCTTAATTTAGCTGGCTGAATTAAAAATAAAATGTATTTGTAAATAAATATAATAGGCAGTTTTGTATTTAATTATTAAGTTAAAATGGGGTAAAGTTACTTTGTTTTTGTGATATTTTTTAAAGAAAGGAATACCTAAATCTTATTTAATGATTTTTACAATTTTACAATCTAAAGAATCACATATTTAAAAAACTTACAGATAGTTATGGTTAAAAATACATTTCTTTGTAATATAACTCGTTTTATTTTAAGACCTTGACTGAACCCATAGATTATAATATAAAGGCTGAACCACATACTTCCTGTGTGGAAGTATGTGGGCTGAAAAAAATCCAACAAGTGGTTAAAGTGTTCAAAACAACCGCGAAATCCTGTCAAAACTCGACCTAACCTCAACAAAAATGACGGATTTTGAATGAAAATGTCAACAAGCTCAAAGGATAGATGTATTATTATTCCAATTTGAAACTACAAATTAACCCATTAAATCACAGTTTCAGCCGATATTCTGTGCGAGTTCTTCGAAGTGGTGGTTCACAGTATTTTGTACAGCCGTAAAATTTACCCAGAAGCGATTTTCGTTCAAAAACGTAAGTACGGAACTGTTGTTTATCAATCAGTGCATCCAGAGATAAACGAATACATTACCGAATCCTTAAAGGCTGTAAACTTTCATGCCAGGAAAAATCAGTTAAAAAAGTTGTTTGTTTGTTTCCACACTGATACTGCTTTGTATGAGAAGTATGTTTTTGATGTTTTGGATATAAAGAACATTCTAGAAAGGTATTTTACTGTATATATTTGGTGGTAAACTTGGTGATAACATTATTATTGTAGGGATACTTTTTTGGTTGATTTAGAACAAGCTTTCAGGACTTTCTACCTTAAATTGCATTCATCAAATTTCTATTTAAAAGATTTGCCAGATGATGCCACGTTTAGTGTTAGATTGATGACTTCTGCATACTCTAGTGTTGAATTTAATCAACAACCTTTGTATGAAGTAAGATATTTGTATTTTCACTAATAAAAATTTCATATTACTGAATAATGTATAAAAATGACTTTTTTAGGATTTTCCATGGACTGAGGTAACTGACCAAGAAAATATCATAGAACCGGCATGTATTGTGCCAATTTACACAATTGAAAAGGATTTCTTGACTTTGCAAATGTACATTGAAAAATCTGCTGATGTTTATTAGTTATTAAATGTATTTTTGCATTTAAAGTAAACTTGTTTTTATTGTGTTATAATTAGAATATGAATAAGAAAGATTGTGGGATTAAACGCAAAAGCACTATTGCAGTGTTTGAGCATGTTGTGGAGAAAGAAAAACCGAAAAAGAGTAAAAAATTTAGAACAAATAGGTTTTTGGAGGATGACTCGCCATCTGAATCCGAATTGGTTATTGATGACAGACCAGTAAGTAATTTTAGTAGTTATCTTACAGATTAATGTTTTAACAAAGACTTGTTTAAAGGCAAGAAAGAAAAATACAGCTGCTATTAAATTGTCAGAGGAACCATTGGCTTTAATTTGCGAATGGGATGATTGTAAAAAAGTTATTAAAAATCAAAGGGAGTTTGAGGATCATTTAATGCAGCACTGTCAGAAGGTTTTGGATTCTCCATATGATGGTAAGTTCCTATTTTATCAAAAACGCATTTGTTTTATAAAAAAAAACATGTTAAAAACCTAGTTATGCCAAATTTTTTATTTTCTGAGATATTATATTAGTTTTATTATATCCCAGCACACATAAGTCTGAATATGTGTCTTTATCTGTATTACAAAGTTTCATGCCTTAATAATGGCATTTTTAGCCAAAGCTTTTCTTTTATTGGGCTTTTACAGGAATGTTTTAATAAAAATATTAATTTTAATTTTAGGCTAATATTTGTATATTTTACCATAAAAGACCCATATATGGCAATTTTCAGTTAATAGGACTTTTAAAAAACATTGAAGTGCAATATGTTTTCTGTATATAAAACTTACATAAACCTTTACTTATCCTTTGGTTAACGCCATATTTTAAAAATGAGGCTTAGTGTAATTCCTATAGTTTTAAAAGTGTGTTATACCACATAAAAAAATATAATAATACCTAATGGTTGTTAAATTTAAACGAGGAAGTAGGGCATTTTTAATTTTACAAATTTTAGAACTCTTATTTCAGACGAAATACCGCCAAAGAATTTAGTAGAAAGGTTTAATTAATTTTCACAATACTTTCAAATGTCAACAAGCTAGAATATAACTGAATTCTCTAGTATCAAAACCCCCTAAATCCGTTTTGATAAAAATGAGATACATGCATTAAAATATTCCTACCTATCAATGTGTGCAAAGAAATGGTTGCAAAAGCCATAAAATATTTATAAAAAAAATGAATATATACATTTTTTGGCTTTTTCAACCATTTGAATGCACAAATTGATAGATAGTATTTTTTTAATGTATTGTTCCCATTTTTCATCAAAACGGATTTAAGGGGTTTTGATAAAAGGGGATTCAACTATATTAAGATTTAATTTAACAAGATATAACTGGCTACAAAAATAAATAAAAAAGTCACTATTTATTTAAACCAGAAAATTGTACAATTAATTTGGTTCATCCTCTCAGATTCTTATAAATTACAGCTTAAGAATATTGTGGTTTAAACCCAGGATGTCCTGCAAAACCCCACTTTTTGTAATGGACATTAGACTGGGCCAAAAAAATCGACTATTTTTTTTTTAAAAGTAGGGTGACAAAAAAAAATTATTGTGAAAGTTTGAGTCCATAATATTAATTTTAATTTTTTTGTTCCTCAGCAAGTTTTAGGCTCAGAACTCCCAAACCATTGAGTTTAACAAAATTAACAATATTTTTTTAAGAAAATTAAATGCTCTACAAAAAAGGTTAAAGTGAAATTTTCCGTCAGATGAACCGTTTCCTTAAAATCATGCCTTAAAAATTGGTATAGTTTTACATTTTGATCTTTTAAATTTGAATTTTGTAATTCATGTAAAAATCAGTACCCATAAAAAACCGATAAATATTCTTATGGGAAATCAAATGCTTTACAAAAAAAAGCCTCTTAACATTTTTGGCTAAATTCACTCAATCAAAAGTTATTCAAGGTTAAAATTTCGTTTTGACTTCAAATTTAACCTTGAATAACTTTTGATGGAGTGAATTTAGCCAAAAATGATAAAAGACTTTTTTTGTAGAGCATTTGATTTCCCATAAGAATATTTATCAATTTTTTTCAGGGTACTGATTTTTACTTGAATTACAAAATTCCAAAGTTAAAAGATCAAATTGTAAAACTATACCAGTTTTTAAGGCATGATTGTGAGAAAACGGTTCATCTGACGGGAAATTCCAATCACATCTTTTTTGTAGAGCATTCAATTTTCTTCAAAAGTATTCTTAAGTCAATTTTGTTAAACTCAATGATTTGGGAGTTCTGAGACAAAAACTCGATTAGGAAAAAAAAATCTAAAATTGCGATGATAGACCTCTTAATATTAATATTATGGACTCAAACTTTCACCATACCATACCCCAAACAATATTTTCGATATACTGTCCAAAAAAAAATAGTCGATTTTTTTGGCCCAGTCTAATAGACCTAATTTTAGATACGGTCGATTGCCTTTGGAAGGACTGTTCTTCCCCAGGCTTGCCGCCCCAAACGCTACGTCGCCACACGTCTTATCACGGTTACCTGACGAAATTGGCCAACATAGGCTCCAACGTTTTGAAACGAACCAACTTACCGAACTGCGCCGATATAAATGTGGCCACCGAATTTCCCATACCTTCCCAAGGGTACACATGCGAGTGGGAGGATTGCCCGTTCAAACATTTTGAAACGGTTTTTCAGTTTTACGATCACATGAATTTACACGTAAAAAATAATCCTAGGGTGGCTAAAAAGGCCGAAGTCATACAGTGTTTTTGGAAAGGTACAAATGTTTACGTGTAATTAGTAATATTTTTGGTAAATTTTGTTTTTCAAGGTTGTAATAACAAGTACCCAAATCAGTATAAACTTGCTGAACATTTACGGGCGCACACGAAAGAGAAAACTGTGGCTTGTCCAGCATGCCTCACCATTTTTTCCTCCAAAACAAAATTTAGGGACCACAGGAAAAGACAACTTTCAACTGACTGTAAGTTATTTTATTTATTTTATTCAAAAGATGGTCAATTAAAATTTTAAATTTAATTTTTTAATATTGTGTTTTATAATTTTTTAAAATCATTATTATTTCAGGAGGGCTTAAACATAATTTTTCGTTTGTTTTGTTTTAATTTACCTACAAAATAAATTAAACAACTTTTGAGTTTGTGTGACAAAACTAAATACTTTAACTGCCAGTTTGAACAATATTTAAACATCATAAAAAAAAACTTTCCCAATTTAAAACTAAAAGTTACTGTGCTTATTATGCTATTTAAATAGAAAGACACACATAATACTGAGACAAGAAAGCCTGTCTGCATTGGCCATGTTATACTTATAAGCAGTATTTATTGTTAATTATAATCGTGTTGCAAATATTAAAGACCAAAGGGTTGATCTAAAATTTAAAAGAGTTAAAAAAAACTATTTAAAAAAGCGTTATTTTCATATTCTTTATTTAGAAAACCAAAATATGGGCTTTGACTCGAAAAATCTTGTGACATATTTGTAACTTTCTATTTCGGACTTTTTTCAAGCTCTGCATATTTTTAAAACAAAATCCCGGTTATAGGTTATGGGCCCAGTACACAAAAAGTGTATCGTAGGCATTTTTAGCATAAAAATAATTGTCCTTAAAATAAGGAGCTAAGCTGTTAATAATGTGAAATTTTAGTACAAAGTTATCAGTGCGCTCAATGCCTTAAACTATTCGCCAGCGAAAGACTACTAAGAGATCACATGAGGTCGCATATAAACCACTACAAGTGCACAATGTGCGACATGACCTGTCCAAAACCTTCAAACTTGGCAAAGCATATCAGGACAAAGCACATTCAATTCAAGGCCTTCAAATGCGATAAGTGCGATAAATCGTGAGTACCCAGTAAATACTTTTGGTTTGTTTATTGCAAGGTGCATTTTTCAGGTTCATTTCGCGATGCAACCTAAGAACGCACATTTTGGTCCACACCAAGTACAGGTTCCCATGTTCAGAGTGTGATTTTAGGTGTAAAAGTTTGTATGGCCTCAGCAGGCATCTGGCCCAAAAACACAACCTGGTAATAAACATATCCAAACAACCTATCAAAATATTAATTCTGCAGTTGTAGAAATCGATGGTCTACGAGTGTCACAACTGCAAAGAAAGATTCAATCGCGGCGGACACCTGACAAAGCACTTGATGAAAAAGCACAACTATCACTGGCCGTCCGGTCACTCTAGATTCAAGTACAGGCAGGACCAGGACGGGATCTTTCGACTGCAAACGGTGAGATTAGGGTTGCAACTTTTCATGAAAAGTTGAAATTTTTGAAAAGTAGGGTTTTATTTTTCGGAAAAGTTCGGAAAAGTTGGAAAAGTTGAGTTTTTTGTAATGTAAACGTATAAGTAATGCTTGTCAATGTATTAAAATAATTTATTTCTTATGTATTTATACATACTTAACAAAATAACAAAAAAATATATCAAACAAAATAAAATGAACAGTCAACATAATAACAACAAAAATAAACTAGGTTTGAATTAAAAAAATCATATTTTTTAAGTAAAAAGGAATAGAAATTTATACACACCATAAAAAAACACATTCAAAATAAAAAATAATTACAAAAAAATATGAAGCAAAAATTATTAAATTTATTGTTGTTAAAAATTATGGAAATTTACAAGTAAAAATTTAAAAAGAAAAAGAAAAGAAAACTTTCTTCTTTTCCACTTTTATATTTTCCCTTGCAAATTTCCATAATTAAAAAAAAATAATATTTTTTTTATACTGTGTATAAATTTAAAATACGTTATAATAAAAGAATCTTTATATAATAGAAAATGCTGTTAGCAGACACCATTTTTGATAAAGTTTGACAAAATGTTATTCCAAAAAACAATGCTTTTGCATGTTTTACTAAAAACACTTCAAATCTAGCGATTTATACTTCAAATCTAGCGATTTATACTTCAAATCTAGCGATTTATATCGAATTTCCATAATTAAAAAAAAAATAATATTTTTTTATACTGTGTATAAATTTAAAATACGTTATAATAAAAGAATCTTTATATAATAGAAAATGCTGTTAGCAGACACCATTTTTGATAAAGTTTGACAAAATGTTATTCCAAAAAACAATGCTTTTGCATGTTTTACTAAAAACACTTCAAATCTAGCGATTTATATCGAATTTTGAGCAAATTATCTACCAAAAAAAATTTATGGTAGTGGAAACACTGGTTAGAAGTCAACTCATTGTTCATTGGCTCCCACCTAATAACTTTTCCAACTTTTCATAGGAGGTGCCGAACTTTTCCAACTTTTCGACCGAACTTTTCCTTGTTTGCAACACTAGGTGAGATACGAAAGTTTGGAGGTCACCGAGGAAATGATTCGCAGCGAGACGATGCAAGGGTCCGCCGTACCGCCAACGCTGAACTACAACATCCAGTACGCCGAGAACAACGAGACCTACGTGATGTCCACGGCAATCCAAGATATCCCGAAAGTGCAGTCCATGGACACGAACAGTACCAACCACAGCGTCCTGATAACGATCGAAGACGTCGATGAGGACGGCAACGTGCTCAATTCCGAGGTCGTTCACTCCAACGAGTTGGTGCTCGCCAATCAGGAAAGCAAGATCACGATTGTCGAGCACCCGCTCGATAACAACCAGGACGGTTTAAAAGAATTGGGCGAGTTCATTGTTATAAAGAATAACGCTAAAGACTCGAGGAAGAAGAAGGGAAAAGTAAGTAGGCCGCGGAAGGCGAAATGTAATAAGAAGGCTACCGAAACTAAAGATGAAAAAAGTGATAAAAGTGAAGATATACATTATTTTTCCAAAGATATTATTGAGAACTATGATAAGTTTAAGATTGTTACTTCATCTTCATAGATCAATAAATTTTGGGGCGCCGTTTTATTTTTATTCAGGAATTAATTTTGTGTTAACCCTGGAGTGATATTTTCAATTTGCTAAAAAATATCACAAGAATTTTTATTCTGCTAATTAATATTATAGCAGATTGGATTTAATTTTTATGTCAAACTTAAAAATTTCTCATATGATATTTTTAATTTACCGAATTAAAAATATGTGTTTAACAAAAAAAACAATTAAAACAAGTAAATATTTTTAATTAAATATACTAAAAATACACTCACAGGCAATATAATCGATCCACACAAATTTTCGATGAATTTCAAACGCAAATAACTTTTTTATTTGATTTCGGATTTAAACAAATATTAAAGAATATTGTAGATACATTAATGGAGAATTGCTCACATTTTAATTATTCAAAAAAAAATACACGTACGTTTATAATATACAGGTTTAAACAAAAATATGTTTTTTACCATAACTCTGTAGAGTGGCAAAACCGTATATTGTTATAAATTAAGTTTTAATTATCGTGACATCCACAGGTCTGTGGTGACATCTATTTTTAACAGTTTTGTTTTTGGTTCACCTTGATATATTTATTTTTATGGAAAATATGGATTTTTTTAAAAAAACATTGCAATTTCCAATATTTTTCCTGTATGAAGAACTAAGGTTGCTATGGTCCATAGCCTATGGAGGATGACAGTGACAGTTTTGTTGAATCATTCCATACTTGGACATGTCATATACAGCTTTTAAAAGCTATCAAATTGTTTTTTGTAAATTAATGTGTTAATTTTGAGGTGTCTTCTTACTTTTAAAAATGTCTTTGACTGATGTTGCCCTTTGTACTTTACTTCTTACATCTTAAATTAATGGCTCTGGCAACATCAGTCGGAGACATATCCATTTTTTAAAGTAAGAAGCCACCTCAAAATTTAAATATTAATTTGCAAAAAACAATTTGATAGCTTTTGAAAGCCGTGTATGACATGTCCAAGTATGGGATGATTCAACAAAACTGTCACTGTTATTCTCCATAGCCTATGGATGGACCATAGCAACCTTAGTTCTTCATACAGAAAAATATTGGAAATTGCCATGTTTTTTTAAAAAATCCATATTTTCCACAAAAATAAATATATCGAGGTGAACCAAAAACAAAACTGTTAAGAATAGATGTGACTTGATAAATAAAACTTAATTTAGAACAATATACGGTTTTGCCACTCTACAGAGTGTCTTAAACTTATGGTAAAAAACATCTTTTTGTTTAAACCTGTATATTATAAAACTACGTCTATTTTTTAGTATTTTTTTAAAATGTGAGCGATTGTCCATTAATTTATCTACAATATTCTTTAATATTCGTTTAAATCCGACATCAAATAAAAAAGTTATTTGGGATTGAAATTCATCGAAAATTTGTTTGGATCGATTATTTTACCCGTGAGTGTATTTTAAAAATTATATATAATTGTTTTTTGTTAAACACATATTTTTAATTCGCTTAATTAAAAATTAGGTTTAATTTTTATGCCAAACAGAATTTTAATTCATTGAATTTAAAATATCTGTTTCTTGTATTTGTATTTTTTAGTAAAATACATATTTTTAATATGCTAAATTAAAAATATTATAGGCGACATTTTTAAATGAATTAAAAATAGATATTTTTAATTAAAAGTAATATTTTTAGCGAATTAAAAATATGTGTACCAGTTTGGCATAAAAATTAAATTTAATTTTGAAATATCCACTATGATATTTTCGATCTGATTAAAAATATCACTTTAGTGTTAACACATACTTCATGAATAAAAAATAAAAATAAGGAATACAATAAAGTCAATTAATAATTCATCATAACTTTTAAAGTGTAAGTAATAATAAACGTGTTAATATTCATTAATTTGTTGTGCATATATAATATATGCAGGTTGTAAATTAAAGGGGTTATAATATATACAATCTCTTTATTTATGTATCACAATACATAACTTAGCCTAAACATAAATACGTCTAAATCTAATTACAAAAATTTCTAGGTTGGTATAAAAAAGTTGAGCTTACAATATTTAGTCTTATATTTAGAGGTAATGACAATTTATTTAGAACATCGAAAGGGGCAGTGTTTTGCGAAAAAACTATATACAAAAGGCAGTATAATTGTCTAGAAGTTAGTCTTTTGTTGAGACATTACACCCTTAAACATAATTTTAATAAAGTCTTAAAGGGCGATATTACCTACATATTTACGAGAGTATTTCATTTAAATAACTACATTCTACTATTGCTTCCTTTCCATGTGACATTATTCCTCGGATGCATCTGTAAGGAGTTCCTGCTGCCGTAAGTCTCTTCCTCGTAAGCCGGGTTGACGTGGCCGCCGTTATTTTCGAAAATCTCCTTCACAGGGATACTGCTGGCAACGCTGTTCCTGTGATTCCTCTGCACCACGTTGTTGTTACCGTACTCGTTTTTGGCGCCCAACGTCTGCATGTGCGACTTTCTTCGCTCAGCCATGACGGAATTCACGCGCACTTCCAAGGCCTTCATCGTTTCCCTGCCCATCGTCATTCTTCGGCTCAAGACAGGAGTACCTTCAAGAATAAGTTTTATTTTTGATTCTTACCCTAGTAGCAATTCCGGAAAAGTCTTGGCCCAGCATGGGTCAAGATACTTTGGACAGAGTTTTGCTCAAGAATTGTTCCAGATTCTTGGCCAAGATTATTGGGCAAGACTTGAGCCAGACTGTGGCCAGAATTTGACGAGAATTTGACCAGAAATCTGAGGCCATCTATTGCTAAACTTTGGGACTATCCTATAGAGTAGAGGTTCTCATTCTACAGTAGTATCATTCACAATAATGTATACTAGTCGAGAAGTGAGTTCTCTGTAGGAAATGAGTATAGTTTTTTTGTTTATGTGAAAATACGAATAAGAGCTTATTGGATTCGTCTTCTAGCTGAGAAAAAAATTGATTTTTTGAAAAATAAGAATTGTTATTTCTAAAAATCAAAAATTAAAAACAAAAGTGTGTGTCAGCTCTGACGCTCTTTATGAACATGAAAGATTATAAAATACATGTTTATTTTTACGGGCACCTGGTTTTTTTTAACATAGAAAATTAAAAACTTTAACTCCTTCAAAATTTGTTCCGTTTTTAATTTTATTGTTTACCAGATTTATGGATAAAAACCGAATTTACTGGAAAGAAATCGTGGAAAATTAATGTTTTTAGCAACATTCTTAACTTTTGAAGTTCAACAAAATTTTGTATTGACCAAAAATCTTGAATTGAAAGTTCCTATTTAACGTGTAATCGTGTAAAAATTCTTGGCCAAGAATCTGGTCAAATTCTGGTCACAGACTTGTCCAAGTCTGCCACCAGTCTGGATAAAGAATTTTGATCAAGGTTGTTCCAGATTCTTGGCCAAGATTATTGGGCAAGACTTGAGCCAGACTGTGGCCAGAATTTGACGAGAATTTGACCAGAAATCTGAGGCCATCTATTGCTAAACTTTGGGACTATCCTATAGAGTAGAGGTTCTCATTACAGTAGTATCATTCACAATAATGTATACTAGTCGAGAAGTGAGTTCTCTGTAGGAAATGAGTATAGTTTTTTTGTTTATGTGAAAATACGATTAAGAGCTTATTGGATTCGTCTTCTAGCTGAGAAAAAAATTGATTTTTTGAAAAATAAGAATTGTTATTTCTAAAAATCAAAAATTAAAAACAAAAGTGTGACAGCTCTGACGCATAACTAGAATTTACTCTTTATGAACATGAAAGATTATAAAATACATGTTTATTTTTACGGGCACCTGGTTTTTTTAACATAGAAAATTAAAAACTTTAACTCTTTCAAAATTTGTTTCGTTTTTAATTCTATTGTTTACCAGATTTATGGATAAAAACCGAATTTAGTGGAAAGAAATCGTGGAAAATTAATGTTTTTAGCAACATTCTTAACTTTTGAAGTTCAACAAAATTTTGTATTGACCAAAAATCTTGAATTGAAAGTTCCTATTTAACGTGTAATCGTGTAAAAATTCTTGGCCAAGAATCTGGTCACAGACTTGGATAAAGAATTTTGATCAAGAGTCTTGGTCAAGAATTGTCCAATTCTTTACAAAGTGCTTCTCCAAGTATCTTGACAAAGAATCTTGTTCAATTCCATTGCTACTAGGGTAATGTTTTGTTGTTGTATTTACCTGCTCCAGGGTTGGCGTTCAGTTTGGCAAAACGTTTCTTGAAAGCCACGTCCAAAGTACCGATTTGTCGTTTCTTCTGAGCCGCCCTTTCCAGGTTATGGATGGTTTTTCTTCTTCCGATCCTATCAGGTCCAGATCCGGAGTCGTTCTCGTAGTCTCCATCATCGATGCCTTGCAATTTCTGCAGCTGTTTCACAATCTCAACCGCTTGTCGGTCCAGTAAAGCATTTGGTGACAGTTCTTCTTTCTGCAATGAACAATTTATTAAACTGACACAATAAAAGTATGATTACTACCTTCTTGTTGCAACATAAGTTGAGGTCTGTTGAAGCCAAAATATGGGCGATGGTTCCAAATCTATGGAACAACATAGCCACGAATTGAATGACCAAAATCAAGGCGAAGAAGAATACGAACACCAAACCAATGGGTTCCAATTGGAGGTACTCCTTTGAAATGTGAACCTATAAAACAAACTTGTTCATTGATAATTCCCGGCGGGATTTTGAATCCTACAGTTAATATTGTTAATGTTACATTATTATATGTACAAGAAATTTGAAGTTGCTTTAGTTTAACATGTAATTTTGTTAAACATTAACCACACAGAACAGGATAGGAACACTTAATTAAAACATCGGAAGTATTATTGCTGAATGATTTCGACTCGGGGGATTCAATTTTGAAGATATAATTTTGACTGTCTGAGACAGCATTTTAAATTCAAATATCAAAACTTTGTATTTTATGTATGATAATGATAATGATTATAATGAAATTCTTTTTGTAAAATAAACAATAATTTTGTCAAAATTTGAAATAAACAGGATGGATATGGAATAAATGAATGATTATTTGAACCAAACTATAACGTATATTTTTGTTGATTAACTATGGTTTCGCGTAAAAATCTAACAAATTTTGGACAATTAAATATATTTTTTCTACATCTAAATGGTGCATTTTCTTCAAAAAACATTTTTATCCATTGACCGCTGTAGTTTTCAGGCCACTCTACTGTGTTAAAAATGGATAAATTTCGATATTTTGAAATAACATTTATATTTAAAAACGTATTGATTTGAAATTAAGATACAATGTATACCTTATTAATGGCAATAAATCCACGTATTTTTTTTAGATTTTAACAAACAGGGGGCGCTGGGAAAATTTAATTTAAAATTTTACCATTTTTAAGGGTTAAAAAATCGAATAAGCAACGTTGTTTTATAATTTTGAGTATATCACGTTAAAGTACTGATAATTAACTATAAACTTCTACATGCAAATTATGTTTCTACGAGAGACATCATTTTTAAATTGGGCCTTCAAAGGGCATAATACTAACGTGTTTTACAAAGTATATATTCTTTTATCTAGTTTTATAAGATAATTTATTATATATTACATATTATACATTATATATTACATGTAATATATTATATATAACTTAAAATTCTTACATATTTATTAAAAAAATCGCCATAGATTATTTACCCTTTAAAAATTGTTAAATTTTAAATTAAATTATCACCAGGGAAAATTTCACTTTTTGCTTGTACCTACTTGAAATTTCACTTAAAATTTTCACGATATTTATGAAATTTATTAAAATTTCCTATAGGATAAATGCCTGAAATTTCATGAAATTTATTAAAACTTTCAATAAATTTCAATCACTTTAAGTGTAATATATTAATATTGAAATAAGCCCACTCGGTGACCATGGCAAATTGCCTCTCTTACCTTCTACCCCTCTGTGGGCCCCTGCACCAATAATATAAATAGTAAATACCTATGTTGACCTCAAATTTCTTGAGATTTCCTTTTAAAATATTTTTAAAATTACTAAAACTAATAGAGATATAGCACTTTTTGGTAAGCTAATGAGATTGTGCCACATTGTTTTTTATTTATATATATTTATTATTTTTATATATTTTACTGAAATTTCATCAAAATTTTATGAGCCAAAGGCATTTTTTATCCGTTTCCGATACAATTATAGCAAAAGTAAAAGTTTAAATTAATCATGACTTTAAAAAAAATTTTAAAGTCTGATTTAATTTACAAATTAAATTGGTAACTGAATTAAATTATTTAAATTAATTTATGCATATAAGTAACAATAATTACTTATAGTGTATTCAAATTCAAGCCGAACTAAACAAAAACGCCCAGACGCTTGATAACTCGTTATTGGTCGATTCGGAATCTGTTGTAAATTATTATTAAGGGTCCCAGGGGAGGCCGCATGTGAAATTTATTCGAAACTTTCAGTAAATTGCGAAACTTTCAATGAAATTTCTGAAAGTTTCACAGGCAATGTTGAAATTTTCGAATTGAAAATTTCATTTGAAATTTTTAAAAATTTCACTTTTTCAACTAAATGAATTTGAAAATTTCAACTGTCCCAACCCTAATCACCAGCGCCCCCTGTACGTTAAAATCTAAACAAAATTTCGCGAAGTACTTTAAGCACTTTGTAATATTTGGTTAACATATCACCAAAGTTGTCCTTTTTCAAGGATTAAAGTGCAGTTGATAGCTTGTTAGAGTTTGGTTTTTGTCAGTACTGGTTAATACCACCACAACAACCGTGAGTGATATACAGAGTGCTTATTTTAGTCGTGTCAGAGCCCTTTTAAGTCAGTATGAGGACATGAGATGGTGAATTGTGTGTGGTGAACCTTAACCTATAAATTATAACAAATAACATTCCGTTATAGACCACAGTTGCTTTGGAAAGAATAAATTTGTTTTCAAGTGTTATTAATCACATACCAGTGTTTGTAGGTTTGCAATGCAAGGAATCAACAATAACTCGTTAAATAAATTCGGTTATTGTAAGTTTCCGAATGCATCACGAGAAAAAAATGGGTCCCAAACCCAAAAATCAAGAGACAATCATTAGTATCCAGACCGGAAGACAGACCCAGGTCAAAAGAAGACCGTGGTAAATACCTCAGAGGTTTCCTCAATGTACGTTATATTAGTCTTAACTCCAAGAGGCCACTTAACGTGAATCTGATCCTTGTTAAGTTGCAAAAGGAAGACGACTAATACAAAAAGAGCATTGAACATGAAGAACGCGAAAACCGATTTATTACGAAGTTCAATCAACTCTTTCGCAATCCTTGCCTGTAAAATCAAATTCAAAATTAGTTATGCTACGGCAGTGGGGTACATGGTTCCTTGTCGACTTCTGAAAGGGTTATTTCTACACTACTTGATGAGGTTGGATGATAATATCGGACAAAAACACCATGTGATCCCCGTTTTAGTTACCTCTTGTGTGCTCTCGTCGTATGTTATATTCGTCTTTACGCCAAACGGCCATTTAATGTGCAAATAGTCCTTTTTGAGAGTCAACAAGAATACTATTAACACGAAAAGAGCATTCAACATGAAAAACGCAAAGACCGACTGATCACGGAGTTCTTTCAAGTCTGATGCAATACGTGCCTAAAAATTTACAAATACAGTATGAGCAAATTATTGTATTACGTGCAAAATAATCGATCCACACAAATTTTCGATGAATTTCAATCGCAAATATCTTTTTTATTTGATGTCGGATTTAAACGAATATTAAAGAATATTGTAGATAAATTAATGGACAATCGCTCACATTTAATAAAAATACTAAAAAATAGACGTACGTTTATAATATACAGGTTTAAACAAAAAGATGTTTTTTACCATAAGTTTAAGACACTCTGTAGAGTGGCAAAACCGTATATTGTTCTAAATTAAGTTTTATTTATCAAGTCACATCTATTCTTAACAGTTTTGTTTTTGGTTCACCTCGATATATTTATTTTTGTGGAAAATGTGGATTTTTTTAAAAAACATTGCAATTTCCAATATTTTTCCTGTATGAAGAAATAAGGTTGCTATGGCCCATCCATAGCCTATGGAGAATGACAGTGACAGTTTTGTTGAATCATCCCATACTTGGACATGTCATATACAGCTTTCAAAAGCTATCAAATTGTTTTTTGTAAATTAATGTGTTAATGTTGAGGTGTCTTCTTACTTTTAAAAATGTCTCCGACTGATGTTGCCCTTTGTACTTTACTTCTTGTGACGTTTAAAACACTTGCCACGTAATACTGTGACCGTCCATCCTGGATTAAATTAATGGCTCTGGCAACATCAGTCGGAGACATATCCATTTTATAAAGTAAGAAGACACCTCAAAAGTTAAACATTAATTTGAAAAAAACAATTTCAGCTTTTGAAAGCCGTGTATGACATGTCCAAGTATGGGATGATTCAACAAAACTGTCACTGTCATTCTCCATAGTTTATGGATGGACCATAGCAACCTTAGTTCTTCATACAGAAAAATATTGGAAATTGCAATGTTTTAAAAAAAAACCATATTTTCCACAAAAATAAATATATCGAGGTGAACCAAAAACAAAACTGTTAAGAAAAGATGTGACTTGATAAATAAAACTTAATTTAGAACAATATACGGTTTTGCCACTCTACAGAGTGGTATGGTAAAAAACATCTTTTTGTTTAAACATGTATATTATAAACGTACGTCTATTTTTTTAGTATTTTTTTAAAATGTGAGCGATTGTCCATTAATTTATCTACAATATTCTTTAATATTCGTTTAAATCCGACATCAAATAAAAAAGTTATTTGCGATTGAAATTCATCGAAAATTTGTGTGGATCGATTATTTTGCACGTGGGTGTAGTTGTATACCTTTTCCTCCTTATTTTCGTCAATAGGATACAAATACTTGGCCAGCAGGTCCTTCCAGAAGCCCATCTCGCTGCTGCTCAAGAATTCCACCTCGCCCTTGCCTACGTCGGCATCCTCTATCCAGTATGGGTTGACCAAATCATCCCTCTTGTTTTGCGGAACGGTAGACGCGGTTTCAGAGTCTGAATTGTCTGATTCGTCGTCCATATTTTCTTCGGTGACGGCTCCCAAATGATGGTGATCTCCACGGGACGAAGCAGACATGCTTCTCCTTCTGGATACGTGGCCGGCTGGATCGACAACCCTAATGAAAAAAATACGTTAATATTTATAATATATTATATATACACACATTCCAGGAAAAATTATTCGTTGTATCCAATCACCTCCCTCTTTTTCACAGGTAGAGACTTAATCCAGGAGGAGGTGCCACACGCAATTTGCACCCTTTTTGCTTCTGGTAGATCACGTGTAGAATTATTAATTGATTTTTTAAATTTGAACACCGATAGCGGTGGTAGCACTATGGAAGTACGAACGCATTAAACGAGACCCTAGACACACGACCTTTTGGCTTTAGATGAGGAGCGTCACTTTTTCATTATTGTTGACAACTTTAACTTTACTAACCCACGCTAACAAAATTACTGCCACAAGTTGCAGGAAACTTACTTATGACACTGTTGATGAAAATTATGATATGGATTTTACAAATTGCAGACAGACACAAGTCTTCATCTAGGGATTAATTTCAAAAATATTTGTATGCCACTGTTGCAGCATAAACTAATTTTAGTAATTTTACACTTATTACACTAAAAACCCCAAAATTTAGTTTTTTTGACTTATGACACTGTTTTCGCCCATGTGCGATATATATATTATATATATATAGAGAAAAACTTCGCAAACTTACTTTTCAATATGATCCAATCGTTTGGCCAACACGTCCAAAGTATCACCAATATGTATGAGTTGGGCTTTTTCGTCTCCAGCCTTCTGGTGGGTGCACAACATGCATCTGAAAAGACCAGCCAAAGAGATCTCGATGCTTCCCTCGTCGTCTTCGCTCGTGCCGCCGTTTTGCAGAAATCCAAGCAGCGACTTCTGCTTAACCTTCTTCTTCATATCTTCGGCGTTCTTCTTCTCTTCCGCCAGTTCCTTCTTCGTTTTCTTCACCGCCACCTCTCTGGTTCCCCAGGTTACCACGTTCAAGTTGATGATGGAGTACAATATCAAAAGCAAGTACATGGACGGTATGGATAAGAGATAGATTAATCCAGGGACGATGCACCAAAACTCTTGCGGATGGAGACAGGCCGCTATGAAGAACGAACCCGTCATAGCTATCAAGAAAATGGCCGAAGGTGAACCCACACCGTCCTCACGCAACTGGAGAGCGGTACCCACTATTACAGCCATCATAATAAGCGCGTAACCTGTCGAAAGTATCTGTGCCACCAACAACTAAAAGTAATTAAATTAGTTGTGACATTTGTTGCACAGCAAACGGAAAAATATAGAAGTGTATTGGATGACGCCACGTTTGAATATAGTTTTGTAAACCCTCGCCATGGTATGGAGTTGTATTCGTCAATCCAGTGTTTCAATTTTATGCTCTTAGAAATATTGACTGGAGCAGTATTAGGGAGACTCCAGTTTTTATAATTTAGAAGCAGTTTTTTATAATTCTCGGGGACGAACGAAAATCATTGCCAGTAAAATTCGAAAAGCCTGAGTTTCTATGTCTTTGAAGAGAATAAGAATCCGAAGTTGCTGCACCATTATTCACAAATAATTTCTAGAGACATAAATGACTGCACCATTCGACAGGGTCGAGTTTCTACCCCTCTGTTGAATATAGAAAATCAAATAATGTATCTTGTAAGACACCATTGAGTTTGACTTTGACTGTAGTCGTGCATAGGTATAGAGGCGAAAAATATAAAAACAAAGCACGATTCAATACAGTTCTGATAAAACTAAGATTTAGTATTCAAACGGGGAGTCATCCTAAACACTTCTATATGTTATCGACCACTTCTTACCTGTATGTTAGATTTGCAAGTGAAACAAACCAACATGAAGAATAAAATCGGGATAATATTGTAGTAAAAGCTGGTCCAATTGTCGATCTGGAAAGCAGCCACGAAGGCTCCCACCAACATAAGAAATATAGTTCCGGGTCCAAGAATAGTACCGCCCATCAGCAAAATCTGATAACCAATGTAAGGCATACTTATGTTGTCATTAACGTCGATAGTCCTTTTAGAATCCATAAGCAAATCCATAATGTTAGCCATAGTCGACGGTACCCATCTACGTCTTTGATTGTAAAACTCGTTAAAACCTTCTGGAGCATGCGTGTAGGCATCAGAGGCGGCTGAGTATTCCACTCTATACCCTCTTTGCAGTAACAGGGTGCACAACCAACGGTCTTCGCCCTGATCGTACTGCACGTAATGCCTAGCCTCGTCCGACCTGGTGGTGTATTTCTTCATAACATTGTCGTCCATGAGAGATTTTCCTCTGAAGAGAGAGAAGCAACCCGGGCTACAAAGTACGCAACCAATGACGTGTTCCGTGGCTTTCTGCAGCCAATGACCAATAGCGTACTCGAACAGTTGGTACCAGACCATGGGGCCCGAACCCACCGGGTGAATACGCCCGCAAGCTGCCCCTAAATTTCTGTTCTTCTTCATCAAATCGATCAAAAGCAGCACAGCGGAAGGTTGGAAATCGATATCACCGTCCAAAGTGAGCAAATAGGTGTTTTCAGCGATAACAGCTTTTCTGTCGACCGAAATCGGTAACTCCATGAGCCTGTGTCCCAAGAGGTAGTACATGTACATCACTTGCGACCACCTCTTTCTGTGCCTGATCTTCATTTTGTCTTTCAAGTGGGCGATCATCTTCGTTTTACCGGGCAAAATCCAGACCAATCTTCCGCCGTAAGGTGTCGGGATCTTCTTCGGCGGCCTTAACCTGATGTGAGTTTGATGCACATCTGAAGCCGCTTCATCGATTGTGGCGATCAGAAGTTTCACGAAACGATTTACTTGGTTATCGTCGTCGTTGTGATCGGAAATTTCGAATGCGTCATCGAAGAAAATATGAGCTACAAAGAAACACGCATTAGAATGTTTTGAAACCGAGTCCTTGTGAATTGGGAGTATTCCTCTGCACTTAAGTTCAAAAACTAATGTCATTTTGTCAAAAGGTCTTATGACATGAGTTCTTTATGCTATTTTATCTATTTTGCAAAAATTCTATAAAAAAATTAATTTTACACCTTATATTTAATTTGGTCGAATTTTACTTTAGATAGTTGGTATCACAGTCATTGGTTTGAAGGGTTAATGTCAAAATCGATTCGCCAAGGCGTCCTTAATTTACTTATTTACAATAAGCGTATGTTAATGAATAATAAGAAGAAGAAAAGGATTTTCTTAGGTGTTAAACAAAATTTATTGCCAGAAAAGTCTAGTAAGTACTAGAAAAATCATAAAAATATTATAACCAATATGTAAGATATTATGCTGTTTAAAGTATAGCCAACCTATAAAATCAAAATTTTGGGTGGGGTAAAGTACCTCATTACAGCACAGAATTTTTTAAAATCTATCAAACTACTTTTTGAATTTTAAAATGGTTTTAGGAGAAATACGTCCACCAACACAGCAATAGAGTGCATTAAATTTTATTCTTAAAAGTTTAAATGAAAAACAGCAAGTTGTTGGATTGTTTTATGACCTAAGTCGTGCATTTGATACTATTAATCAAAGATTACATAAACTTGAAAATATAGGAGTTGAGGTGTTGCAAATATATGGGTAGAATCATATTTATTAGACAGAACCCAAGTAGTATCTATAAATGGTGAAAAATTGGATATATCCAGAGTAACATTGGGAGTACCTCAAGGATCGATATTGGGGCCACTTGTATTTTTAATATTTGTAAATGATTTTAATTTAAATACAAATATAAATGAGCAACTTATTCTCTATGCAGATGATACAAACCTTATAATTCAAAATAGTTATATTTCAAACTTCAAACTGAAGCATCTTTAAAATCTAATTTATTTAATATATGGTGGTTTAATCATTAACAAAAACAAAACCTTTTATATGCGATTTTTACCAAAAAATGTTTTACCAGATTATGATATATTTATTCGAATTATAGGTAAATCAATTGAGTATGCTGAAACCATAAATTTTTTGCGTATTTACTTGGATAGAAGTTAACATGGGAAACACAAATAAATAATTTAAATAAAAAAATACGTTCTGATCGCTATTTAATAAGGTCATTAAGATGGTCACTAAACTTTTCAGTTCTGCGACTTAGTACTTTGGGGTAGTCCAGGCACATCTTGCCTATGACATTATATTTTGAGGTAGCTCTAGTCATTTTAACAAAGTTTTTATAATGCAAAAAAAGATCCTTAGGTTCATGGATACCAAAAGTCAAACATTCTTGTAAGCTATTGTTAAGGAAATACACAATTTTAACTCTTTCCTGTTTATACGTATTAAATTTGATTTTAAACTAAGACTGTCTTAGATTTTAAATATTTTGGAAAAAAAAATTGACTCATAGACATAGTTATTCAACAAGAAGTCAAAGTTCTTTTAGTACTAGTACTATTCTGTGGAAGAGTTTCTTAATGATAATTTTTAAGGTGTTTTTCTATTTGGTGTCCCTAGTGTTTTTATATATTATTTTGTAATTTTACTTGACTGGTCCAATATGTTTTATATATGCTGTAAACTCTATGATCAATAAATATTTTATTATTATTAAAAATATTATTATTACTTACTTTCAAACTCATAGTAATCAGGATCTACCACTCTAAGATACTTCTGCGCAACCCTTCTGGCGGACTGATCCTCGTCCAACCTCAATATAGACTTCAAGAACTCCACCATCTCTTCTTTGTTTTCGTGCCACATGGTAGCGCAAGCGTAAATCCTCGTAATGTTATCGGAACTCTTGATGGTCTTCGGCGAAGAACCATCGGTGTGATTCGAAATCGTTTCGTAGTACTCATCGGCCTTCTCTTTTTGTATTTCGTCTAAATCCTCCGTCTTGACGTCAGCCTCGTCGTCTCTCCTGCGATTCATGCCCAAACTTTGATCTATAAGCAGACCTTCGTACATCGGAACGACAAATAATTTTTCCGTTCTCGCCAAACGTTCGCACTTTGGCGTCCAGATGTGCAGGGTCACCCACGTCTGAGATAAAAGCCACAGCAACCAAATCCAGACGTGTTGGTGCGAGATGAAGTCGTTCAAGAAGGACGCAGAGGGGCTTTCGAAGAAAAGATAACTCGGGATGGTATCGTGGAAAAAGCAAGGATCGCCGTTACGCAAGCCACAAGCTGCTATCATCAGCGATATCGTGACTGGTATTGTTAGGTTTACAGGGAAGGCGTAAGAGAAGCCTTGTATCATGATTTTACAGGCGAATTTGCCGAAAATGTATGCGAAATAGGTCGCGAGAACGTTTATAAGCAAAACATAAATAGCGGTCATATTGTTGGCTGGGATAATCGTATCATCGCCAGTGGCGATGATCTCAGCAGCGTCTGTTAGAGCCGTACCACCAATAATAGGCTTAATTTCCAATACGGTGATAGAATGATCACCGAAACCTTCGCTGAAATCGCTGAAGAAGAAGCCAATTTCGCCTTCATTGATTAAAAGAATGAACAAGATCGACAAGAAGAAAACGAGAATCTTCCAAATGGAAATAAACATGTACGTGAAGTATCTCGTTTCATCGAATTGCTCCTTGATTCTTCCGAGGTTCTTTATGAAAGGCAAGGGCGAGTATCGGGAGATGTAGTTCTCCCACCACCCCAAAGAGACTAGAAATATGGCGACTGGTATGATCCATAGGTCGGGTCGGTTCTCCACTATGGGCCATACCACAAAACCTGTTGCTTGGGCTGCTATCGCGACAAGGTCCATTATCACTTTGAGAAAGCGCTGGTTTTCTTTGTTGTTTCTTGACAGAAGACCTAAAGAAAACATTATGTTTTTGTTAAGAACAAGTTTGAAATTGTTTGTTACAAAAGAACATACAGGTTTATACAAATATTGGAAATATTTCCCAAAAGTACTTTGTGTTTTGTTTTGGTGTTATTTCTTATAATTATATTTGTTTAACATATAGTAAATTTAAAAGGAAACGACGTACACGTCATTTTACATGAATAATACCATAGGGTCCCTAGATTTGGGACCTTAGAATACCAAAAGGTCAAAAGTCAGAGTTTTTTTTCCTTTATATTCTGTGAGTTTTATAACCTATATGATGCACCGCCAAAAGTATGTTTTTAGCCATTTTTAAAGACATTTTCAGCTATAAAACCCAGAAATTTTGCCAAGTCAGTCTCTTATTGTATGTATCCAACATATATATATTTTGTTAAATATTCTAATATATAATAATAATCCTATTTACCTCTCTAACAACTGTTAAATAACGAAGGTACATAGTTGGTATCATCCTTAATAAGCTATTTTGAGGCAGAACGGAATAATAATGTACCCACAATCCACACAACAAGGTCTGTTCGATCTCGTACTAAAAATCACTGCAACACTGCACATCATTTAATGGCGGCCATTTTTGTTGTTTACAATTCTTGTGCTTTGGGTTTGTACAGATTAATAATCGTTTTAAACGTTGTGTTTCTTACAGAGAGACTTGCAAGCCTTAATAAAAGAGACCTAAAAGTGGTAAGAACAATCATTTTACTCCTCGTTTGTAAAAAATAAACCTTCTAAAGTCTCTGGTATATATATTCGTATGAAGGAAGAACTCTTGACTCCGACTATATAAATGCTTAAACTATATAAAATAACACAAACAACAAACAAAATAAACGAAATTTTACACGAAATATTCAAAAAAACAACTGACAGCTTTAAAATTCTAAAACGTCAATTTCTTTTTGTATGCGTTAATTTATTAAGCAAAAATTTAACCTAAACATGACAACATTGCAATTGCTGCCAACTAAAGTTGTTTAATATGCATTAAAATATTCAATTACAGACTTCGTTTTATACATTTAGGTAGTGTTGGTACCAGTACGCAAAATTGTGACGTCATTGATGACGTGTACGTCGTTTCCTTTTAAATTTACTATATCACCAAAGTTGTCCTTTCTCAAGTATACAGATTTATGTAACTTACCCAAAAATGCAGGTACGAAACAGAGACAATTGGTCAACATGGCTCCTTTCACGACATCAATATCCGGAAGAATGTAGAATATCAGTGTTGCCAAGCCGATCGTGTATCCGGTTTCGACGAGAAAAATAACTAGAAAATGGTGAAACGGAGGTTTCTTGGATGACTTGAAGTAACACATCCTTGTGGATCTGAATAGAACCCCTAGTTGTGGAATTGCGAAAGCGATAAGTAAACACCACATCCACACTACTCTTTCGGGAGTGGGAAGTTTTACTATGAACTGCTTGTCCCTCCCCAAATCTCTGTTGCAGTAGGGTATCACTTTTTCCGGCTTTAACTGTGATGTCATAAACAACAGGGTTCCTTTCGATACTATCCCAGATACTAACACTATTACGAAGGTGATTAAGTAGGCGAACACTTTCAGGATTTTGACTGTTATTTCCAGACATTTTTGGTTGGCCATGGAGCCGGATATCTCCTTGATAGGAGGGTCTCTGAACACGTCCCATCCTTTTGTTTCCTGGACGGTCCTCGTACTGAAAAAAAAAGATTAATTAGTTTTGAAAATACAAGTTTTAGAAAGATTGGCCGTCTGGTTTACGAGTAAAAAATTATTAATGTTGCCAAGACTACACAGGGTGTTATCGTTTATTGTTGCTAACCTGTTTTGTGAATTCTATTCTATCCACAGGTATACCAGAAAAAAACATTGATTTCTTTTTATTAATGCATATCTATCTTCTAACATGACTGAAAATTTGATTAATATTTTTTCTCTTATGTCGTTAGAATTCAAGGAGTTTTGTAATTTTAAACATTTCTGTGAAATCGGAATTTCAATTGAGTTTACCGTTTTCGAGATATTTACAAAAAAAAATCTCCTAATTACGTCACTAGGCTATTGACAACCTTGCCAGCTTTTTCTATGCCAGTATGTTTAGTTTAAGATTCTTACGATAGATGGCGCCACGTTATAATATTTTAGTTTTAAAACCACTTGATCTATAATTTTAGTTGAGAAGAAGAAGAAGAATTGATTTTTTGACGTTTATTTTTTTCGGGTTATGTTTTTTTTTAATTTAGATTATTGAAAATCAATGTTATTGTTATGTTATTTGTAATTGATATTAGATAAGTGATTTATTAATAACGGACTCCAAAGCAGAGGAATCTTGTGGAATGGTGGTTACATTAAACAAATAAAGTAAGTACCTATAATAATAATCATATTTTGTCGTAAATGCATTTCATTAGTATAATGCCTAGTTCTTTATATTCTTTTAAATATATCTTGGACTCTAAAATATCAAACAGTAATATGACACCTCGTAATAAGGAAGAAGGTACTAAATTAATTTGGTGACCATCTTTCACTCAACTGACAGTGACAGTATTTGTACATAACCTCTTCGGGTATTTTCTGACATAACCGAATGAAATCATTAACAAGACAACTTGACAACAGGGTAATTTTCAACCAATAGAAATCTTAGAATGTTGGTCACATGGCGAGGTTTGTGACGTCATAAAAATTTATATTTTTTGTAAATATCTCGAAAACGGTAAACTCAATTGAAATTCTGATTTTACAGAAATGTTTAATATTACAAAACGCCTTGAATAAAACCATAAAAAGTATAGGTCAGAAAAAATTTAACTACCCCATTTTTGTTAACTTTCACAGAACAGTTTTCCAATAAAGGATAATGTTGACTGTGTGCAACCAAAATTATCAATCTGTCATTTTCGTCTAGAAGATCTGGCAACACTTTAGGGATACTTGATTTATTTTGTAAATACCATAATTTCATTTTTAAGTAAATTATTAAAAAAAAACACACAATTGGATTGTTATTTATTATAAGTTATTTTTCTTTTGAGTAATTGAGACTTTCGTTGTTTTCTGTTGCTTTATTTTTGGGTCCCATATTTTTTTCATTTTAGTGGGCTTTATTTGTTTTACAGAACATAATAATTCGTTTTCACAACTCATTTTAAAATTTTAAATTACACTGCATATAGAAATGTCACTGTAACTGTCAAAAGCGAAAAGCGTTACCATAGAAACCAACTATTAACTCGCGCCTAAATCCTATTTTTTTTTCTTTTTTTTATTCACGGTCCTGCATTTTAAAAGGCCCATATACATTTTAACACATGTGTTAAAATGTATATGGGCCTTTTGTATTAAAATAAAAAATAATTATAAAATCAGCTGTTTTTATATACAATGTAATAAAATGTAAATTTTGTTTTTGCAAATTGGTAATTATGCATTAAGTATAAAAATAACTCCCCTTACCCCTTTCCCCTAAATGTACTGCCCGAACCTCTATTATATTAGTTGTAATTTGTTCATAATTACCTTTATTATCTTTATTATTAATTTTTTAATTGGTTTGTAAATTTTAACAATATAATTTTTAATTAGTCATGTTCATATCTTTACATAAAATCCTATGTTTTATTACATCAAAAAATAAATGAAGAAACTAATTGTATATCTTTTATTTATCTCGAATATGGTCTTATTGTTAATTAAAAATAAATTTAATACTTGATTAAAATACGTGCTACTTGCTTAAAGCACTTTATAATTTTGCAACTGAAATAAATTGTTTAATTTCCTAAAGTTATTTGCAACATTTATTAATGATACATTTATAACAATAATGAGAAAATTAAGTAGGCTTTCAAAAAATTTATAATATAATTCCCATAACGTGAAATTTTAAATAAACAGTACCGGCTATAAAATTGCTCTAGATTCAGTTAAAATTTTTAGATCAAAGAATTCTATAAAAAGTACTATTTTGTTTTACATACAAGTAAGTTTATTATTTAAATTAAATTCTTTACGAAATACTGAACTCAAAGGTATTGAACTCTCCCATGTTGGCATTTTATTAATTTATCTTGTAAATTTATAGCTATAGGAACTCCTGCGTATTTAAAGTTTATTGTGTTAAGAAAATTTAATGTAAAAATCGTTTTTTTCCGTTAGAAAAAACATAAAAAACATTTTTCGTTTTTTGTTTTTCTTTGTCGTTATTATGTTTGCGGATATAGTGGTGGATTTATTTTAAATGTTTCCTGTATGTTTTAACATAATCAAATAGAAAATTAAAAAACAATTCGATTAATGTAACTATTCCCCATACCTAAATTTAATAATTTTAGAGATATTTAACAATTTCCAATATTAAACCCAGAATAGTCAAGAAGAGCAATGACTAATGTAGATTCTACATTGTAGAAGTAAGAATTAGGAAATGCTTGAATGAAGGATACTTTAAACATTTAGTAATAAATTAGTACTTAATACAAATTGTTACTTTAAATATTGTGGATTTATTAAATTGTTACAGTTAAGCATTCTTTTTGCATTTAAAATATTTCATAAAATAAATTTTATATTTTATTGTCTCCAATAAGCTAGTACTTCATCTAGTTGACATCCTACAGCTTTGTTGATTTTTTTTTTCAAAATTAGCAAATTGATACATAGATAGTATTTAAAATTATGAAATTGTTAAATATCTCTGAAATTATTAACTTTAGGAATAGGGAATAGTTACCTCAAACGAAAGGTTTTTTAATTTACTATTTGATTGAGTAAAAAGATACCGGGTGTTACATTTAAAATAAAAAGTTATTAACGTTTCAAGTTAGCCTAATTTTCCTTGGCTTTTCTCAGGTATTTTATTGAAAAATGATAAAGAATTGACATGGAATCTTTTAAACAATGTTTTAAGATTCCAAAAATTCAACCCTCAATTCTGCAAACCTAATAACAAAAAAGTTATAGGCTATTTTTGATTAACGTGCATTTGTCAAATTTTAACTTATAACTTACAGTTAATTTTTTTTATCTGGACTCGTGTTTTTTTGTTAGGTTGGTGGCTTATGCCAGTTTGACTTAGTATTTTTAGTATTTAAAAATGGTACTTCTGCTAAAGAATTTAATTAAATACTTTGACACCGTCAAATTGACAATAATATTTATTATTGATAATTTACTTGTCAATTATAAATAAAAAGATAATTATGCCAAAAATATTTTTATATATAAAATAGCAACGAATTCGAATGTAAAAGCCCTTTTGAGGGCAAAACTTCATTTTGATGAAATTATGCCGAATGCCACAGTGGAAGAAAAAGTTCATCGCCTTATGGACATATTTGGAGTAAAAAAGTAACGAATTTGGTTTTGTAAATATTACATCACACATTATTTTTACATTATTCACCATTGGACAACATTTACGTTCACAAAAAATTTTAATTTATTTTATATAAATTCTTTTCAAAGCGAAGATTATTATCCGCTAGGAATACTTTCTCTTCTGGGCCGTAAAGCAACCTACATTTAACTACTTTTGTATATGATTTTACTCATCCAAGCACCACCAAAGCCAAATTAATTGTATTTTTAACTACGAATTTCGACAACAACTTGACAACTGCACAATGTAACCTACAATAATTTATACATAACCACAATTGGATTTATAACTAGCTTAGTTTGTTTTAATCAATGCGACCAACTTGACAACTGTATTTACTAACCAAAACCCTAAATTTGCAACGTTGCCGCAGTCCAGATAAAAAAAATGAACTTTATATAATATACCAGACGTCTGGCATCACTGGTAGGGTACCAATCACTTTTGAAACTGGATCTATTTTCAGAAGTAATTGATACGTCACCAGTGATGAAATTTCGAAACAACTTTATATTAGGGTGTTCGTTATCAAAAGAAAAATTTTTACTGCAAGTTTCGCCAAATTTCAGCTATTTTTTCCCGCATTAGTATACCTTTAAAAACACCATTTTTTAGCGCAATGGGGGTGAAATAGTAAAGTGTTCGATAAAGTGGAATATAAAATATATTTGGATAATTTCCATTATTAAAAATATTGACTGACACTAAAAAATGTAATTTCTTATTATTTGGTATTGAATATTCTAATTAAAATTATGATATTCAATGCCAATTTCTTAATATAGTTCGTTGAATGTAGAAACGAATACTAAAAAAGTTTTTTTGTTAAATTATTTTGTTAAATTATTTTAAAGTTTATGAAAAATTATTGCCCTAATTTTTGATTAAAATTGACGTCAGAAAAAGTTTGGATTGGATTAATAAGATAATGGCAAAAACGTAAAACCATAAAATATTAACAAAAAAATTGTAAAAAAAAACCGTAAAAAACATTATAAGAACAAAAAAAATTGCATTTTCATGGGTAGGATTTCTGTAGAGATGAATTTTATAGTAAAAAGTTATAAATCATCAATATCAAATAAAATAGACCATTGCGAAATAGTTCTATTATCTGCGTTACAATTAAATTGAAATTCTGGCACAACGAAAAGTACTTTTACTGTTCTGACGAGGTGTTGTTTAATTGCTATCAGATAAGTTGGTTTATTGGCATTTTGTAATCCAAGGTGACTTTCATTTTCGGTCCGATTGGACCCGCCTTATATTGAACCTTTGTTACACAAAAATTCTTTTTGTATAATAATTTC